GCAACGTTACTAACCCAGATCTTTGCTTACTGGCATTGCAAAATCCCGTCTCCACTACAGTACACATTTAATAAATCCAAATTCTCAACATCTGGAGGCCTGCCTCTTGCCAGACATAGGGTGTCCCTTAGAAGAGGTGCAAAATCGCTGATCGTCCCATTTAAAACAGCTGTACAACGCAGATGAGATTGGCGATAGCAACATGCCATATTTGAGAAGAGGTAACAAAATCGGGGCAAAACACACACATGCTGTGCACCATGGAGAATTCCCTCCACAGTCTCCCCACATAGACACTACCTGTGAATTCACATAGGAAGCTGCCTTATATCAACTCTGACCTTTGGTGCACCCAGGTCAGTATTGTCTACACTGCAGGGTTTTGGGCAGGGATGCTGTGAATTGGACCTGGGATCTTCCGCTTGCAAGATGAGCTACAGCCCTTCACATTTTAGTCATGCGGCTGTGAGCGCACGCCTTGCTTGGTTTTCTTTTTCTCTTTTTGTGTGCAACCCACATCGTTTCCCCAAAGCTTGACTTTTCCACCTGAAACATAAGATCTGAGAGAATTATAGCATGTATTTACCTCAAACCCGTTAAACTATCCACATCCTCGCACTTCCACAGTGGTTGTAGATCTATTATTATTATTATTATTATTATTATTATTATTATTATTATTCCCCCGTCCTCAAAATGGTTGCAGGTCTTTGAGGTGGTTTCTCAAGTCTTCAAATCAGAATTGTCTGTAGTCTCAAAATTTCATTTCCTAGGACCCCCTTGGAAAAAGCCAGTTTTCTCCTTGTGGTGTACGAATACACCCCAAGGCAAGTTTGATCGAAGCACAAGTACCCATTATGCCCATGTAGCAAATGTCTCCTACTTCCTGCAACTGTTTTCCTTTAGTTCATTTCCCAGTTTTATCATGAAAATGTAATGAATAAAGGCCGGTATTCCCCATTTATTACCTGGTTATTTGATCACAGGTTGACTAAACTTTCAGCACTTGAGCACTGCCTCGGAAACAGCCACAACTAAAAATGCACATTTCGGCATCAGCGGCACGTTTGGAGAGAACGCTGTGGTGTCAGCAAATTCCAAGTATGCACTTTTATTTAAGAATTTCCACTGAGTTCAAATGGGTTTATTTCCAAATAGGAGTGCATAGGCTTGTGTTGCCCTGCTGGGTCTGGTGCCAGGCTCTTTTCTAGTCTCACATCTTTCTGACCCACGTAGATGCCCACACAGGCAGCTTCCATCCACCCCAATACAGTGGTACCTCGGGTTACATACGCTTCAGGTTACAGACGCTTCAGGTTACAGACTCCGCAAACCCAGAAATATTACCTCAGCTTAAGAACTTTGCTTCAGGTTGAGAACAGAAATCGCGCAGCAGCGATGTGGCGGCAGTGGGAGGCCCCATTAGCTAAAGTGGTGCTTCAGGTTAAGAACAGTTTCAGGTTAAGAATGGACCTCCGGAACGAATTAAGTACTTAACCCGAGGTATAGACAACTGAGAGCACTTCCAGACAGGAACTTATTGTGAAATTAGTGTTGCTCGTGCGCCAAAGTTTTCCCACCACCCACCCAACATTATCAGAAGAAAAATGCCAGCCTGTTCTTTTTCTGCATTTAATTCTGAATTTCCCATTCTGCAGGAAACTCACTTAAGTCAAAAAATAATCCTCTGTACATCCACATTTGTTACAGGTGTGAAGGCTTATTTGCACTTCTTTTTTGGAGGCCTGTTTCCCACAAGAATGGTGAGGTTTCAGTGGGGGGGCCTCTGTTGCCGGACCGCTTCTTCTATTCTCACCTGAGCAAATCCTTGCCGTTTTGTTTCTGGCAGCCCAAATGAGACAAACATACCTATATTTCTAAGGGACGCGGGTGGCGCTGTGGTCTAAATCACAGAGCCTAGGGCTTGCCGATCAGAAGGTCGATGGTTCAAATCCCTGCGATGGGGTGAGCTCCCGTTGCTCGGTCCCTGCTCCTGCCAACCTAGCAGTTCAAAAGAACCTCAAAGTGCAAGTAGATAAATAGGTACTGCTCCAGCGGAAAGGTAAACGGCGTTTCCATGCGCTGCTCTGGTTCGCCAGAAGCGGCTTAGTCATGCTGGCCACATGACCCAGAAAAACTGTCTGCGGACAAATACTGGCTCCCTCGACCAGTAAAGCAAGATGAGCTCTGCAACCCCAGAGTTGTCCGCGACTGGACTTAACGGTCAAGGGTCCCTTTACCTTTACCTATATTTCTATCAATTGCCACCTGCAGAAGGCACATGGGAATTTCGGCAGCCTGGTTCAAATGATTTCTTCTTCTTCTCAAGATCTCTGCACAGTGCATGTGGGGAATCAGCTGGGAAACTGGAATTGCAGTACATACTGTACATTGAAACTTAAAATGTATATATATTTACACACACACACACACACACACAGACACACACACAGACACACACAAATATCTTCCCCGAGACCTCTTCATCAGTATTTCAATATTTAATTCCTCCTGTGTTTATATTGTTGCAGGATGGGGGAGGAGAGGAATGTGTGGCTGTGTTGTTAAGGATCACAGGGCACTAGAGGGCATGGATATTGCCACCACCCACTAAAACAAATAGCATACCCTCCAACATTTCTCCGATGAAAATAGGGACATCCTATAGCAGATAAAAGGTAAAGGTAAAGGGACCCCTGACCATTAGGTCCAGTTGTGACCAACTCTGGGGTTGCAGTGCTCATTTTGCTTTATTGGCCAAGGGAGCCGGCTTACAGCTTCCGGGTCATGTGGCCAGCATGACTAAGCCACTTCTGGCGAACCAGAGCAGTGCACAGAAACGCCATTTACCTTCACGCCAAAGCAGTACCTATTTATCTACTTGCACTCTGACGTGCTTTTGAACTGCTAGGTTGGCAGGAGCAGGGACCGAGCAACGGGAGCTCACCCCATTGCGGGGATTCGAACCGCCGACCTTCTGATTGGCAAGTCCTAGGCTCTGTGGTTTAACCCACAGCACCAGCTAAATATCTGTCTTATGCAAGACCCCGGTATTATTTCCTTTGCCTTCCCCCCAAAGAGACACCAAACAGATATTGTACCATCACCATTAACACCACCTTGTGGGGCGGGGACAACATGACACCATTTTTGTCTATTGTGAAACATGATAACTAAGGGCTGATAATATCTGTTTTTGTGCACTACTGGTGCATATATATATATATAGGTGCACACACAGAGGTACAGAAATATGGGTGTACATACCTGGAACAGATGAGGGCAGTGGAGGGTGGGAAAAGAGGGAATGAGGGAAGGGAAGTAAAAATACAGTACAGAAACAGTCTGTCAGGCTCTGCCCACTGATGTGTGGATGGCATAGGGCTGAATAGCAACAACTATCCAAGCACAATGTGGAAGCTAAAATGCCACACAGAGAGAGAGAGACCAAGAGAGACCTGAACAACCCTTTTGTAAAATAAAGGCCCCCCAAGTTATGGGCTATGAAGTTCACAGGGAGACAGAAACCCATTGTGAACCTCCCTGAAGGCATCCTACTGAGGCTTCAGAAACTTCTTGATTTTTCTGCTTCCAGCCAAATAGTTCTACTAAACCCAGAAAAATCTTGATTGCAACCCTGGACGGACTACCACTATTCACTACTGTTGTTTTAAACTTTTAACCACACATCGAAATCTATTTTAAAAAGCAGGTTACACTTAAACCCGCCTCTTCCTTCAAGGAGTTCAGAGTGTTTAAAGATTGGCTGGCCGTTTCTGCATCTCCAAAAAAGTGGAAATGCATCATTATAGGGTCGAGTCCAACCCCCTGCAATGCAGGACTCTCAGCTAAAGCATACTTGGCAGGTGGCCATCAAACCTCTGCTTAAAAGCCTCCAAGGAAGGAGAGTCCACGGCCTTCCAAGAGTCCTGATACTGCTATCAAGGCACACAAAGCTCATCCATCTGCCTTTGTGAATGAGCCCTGAAAGCTTTCCTCCAGGCGTTCCTGTCATATTAGGGGGAGAATTTTTTTGCAAAGTGATGAAAAAAGGCATGCACTTTGCAATTTTTCAAAATAAACTTGTTCACCGCATAAAAGGTATTTCCCTGATGGTTTGTTGTTGTTTTTTAACTTCCTAGTTTTCAAATGATTTAAGATTTTGACAGATGTTTTCCTGAGCGCCTGGCGTCAAAAGAAAGCAATTTAAAACCACTGTTGTTGAGACATTTCATTCCGAATCTGCTAGACAGAGCCAGACACAGATTATGGTGATACGTGGGTGTCCTAAGCAGCCCCCAAAATCCTGGCTACGCCCAGGGCTGGATTTAGATTTGATGAGGCCCTAAGCTACTAAAGGTAATGGAGCCCTTTACAGTGGTACATCAGGTTAAGTACTTAATTCGTTCTGGAGGTCCGTACTTAACCTGAAACTGTTCTTAACCTGAAGCACCACTTTAGCTAATGGGGCCTCCTGCTGCCGCCGCACCGCCAGAACACAATTTCTGTTCTTATCCTGAAGCAAAGTTCTTAACCTGAAGCACTATTTCTGGGTTAGCAGAGTGTGTAACCTGAAGCATATGTAACCTGAAGCATATGTAACCCGAGGTACCACTGTATATGTCCAGCTGTCCTTTGTCAACAACAAATTGTTGCTGTTTTTTGTGTTGAATATAAGGTAATTTAGGGACCTAATATGGTAATTTAGGGACCTAATAGGACCTAAATATGGACCTAAACCCATTTGCACAGAACAAAATATGTATTTTATCAAAGTACATCCAGTGTTTTTCCCCTTTAATTTTGGGGGGGGGCCCAAGAAAGTGGGGCCCTAAACTATAGCTTAATCCAGCACTGACCACGCCCATGGTTGCTCGCAATGCCTTCCTTTCTGCGCGCGCCTCCCCAACGGGCTGCAAAATTAACTTTTCGCTCCACCCCGTGGAAAGCGGGGGCGAGTGAGCGCTCGCTTAAAAGGGCAATGCCAGGCTCGCGCGGCCGAGTTGAACCGAATGGCCTTACTTCTGAGCAAAAGGCGGCAGAGTCCTGCGCCTCCTCTGGCTAAGCCGGGCCTGTCGCCGGTGGCCCTTTTAAAAGGAGCGAGAGCGCATTCGCGCGCCATTTGGAATCCGGGAGGCGCGAGGAAGTCGGCAGCGCGGACCGGGAGGCGCTGCTGCTGCTCCTTCTCCTCCTCCCGGTGCAAAGTTAGGGCGGGAAACGACGCCGGTGCAGATGGAGCGGCTCGCGCGGGGCGGGTAAATATGGCGGTTTGGGGAGGCCGCGGTTCAGGTTTGCAAGGCGCATTGCTAAGCTCTTGGGGAATGCGCGCAGCCCGGCGCTACCCGGCTGCAGCCCGCTTGGCATTTGCCAGGGAACAAGTACAGTGGTACCTCGGGTTACAGACGCTTCAGGTTACAGACTCTGCTAACCCAGAAATAGTGCCTCGGGTTAAGAACTTTGCTTCAGGATGAGAACAGAAATCGTGTTCCGGCGGCGCAGCGGCAGCGGGAGGCCCCATTAGCTAAAGTGGTGCTTCAGGTTAAGAACAGTTTCAGGTTAAGAACGGACCTCCGGAACGAATTAAGTACTTAACCCGAGGTACCACTGTAATGGGATGGGGGGGGCGAGGTGTTGGCAGGCAGTGTTACAATATGGCCTTGCCCTATCCAAGATGGAAGGGTATCTCTGTCAGAACAAGTCACAACTTGTTTTGAAATGAATCCCACTGGCTTGGGTAGAACTTAGTTCCCAACTGGGTTGTTGAGATATATTTGGTCATTTTCTGTCCTCCCATTTTTCTGCAGATTCATGTTTGCGTACACATGCTTTAGATTTTAAAGGGGGAAGATAAACTAATCCCAAAGCATGTTTAAGCTTCTAAATACAGTGGTACCTCGGGTTACATACGCTTCAGGTTACAGACTCGGCTAACCCAGAAATAGTACCTCGGGTTAAGAACTTTGCTTCAGGATGAGAACAGAAATCGTGCTCCGGCAGCACGGCGGCAGCAGGAGGCCCCATTAGCTAAAGTGGTGCTTCAGGTTAAAAACAGTTTCAGGTTAAGAACGGACCTGAACGAATTAAGTACTTAACCTGAGGTACCACTGTAGTATGGATTGGGGGGGGGGGAGTCTGAGGTGTTTCTGCTGGCAACCTGAAGGAGGAGCTCAGGTTTGGGCGGAGGGTCCGGATGGGGGCATTAAGAGCACTCGGATGCCGTTGATTCTCCGTAGTCATCCTTGTTGGCCTTGGCGAGGTTTTTTGGGGAGGTGGGAGGACCGTGGCTTTAACAGCCCGCTCTGCGTCATCTACTGTATTGGGGGCAAGAGCCCCTATTCCTGTTGTTGTTGTTTAGTCGTGTCCGACTCTTCGTGACCCCCTGGACCAGAGCACGCCAGGCACTTCTGTCTTCCACTGCCTCCCTCAGTTTGGTCAAACTCATGTTCATAGCTTCGAGAACACTGTCCAACCATCTCGTCCTCTGTCGTCCCCTTCTCCTTGTGCCCTCCATCTTTCCCAACATCAGGGTCTTTTCCAGGGAGTCTTTTCTTCTCATGAGGTGGCCAAAGTATTGGAGCCACCAATACTTCAGGATCTGTCCCTCCAGTGAGCACTCAGGGCTGATTTCCTTCAGAATGGATCGGTTTGATCTTCTTGCAGTCCATGGGACTCACAAGAGTCTCCTCCAGCACCATATTTCAAAAGCATCAATTCTTCTGTGATCAGCCTTCTTTATGGTCCAGCTCTCACTTCCTTACATCACTACTGCGAAAACTATAGCTTTAACTGGGCCACCTCAAAACCAATCAAACTTTGTAAAGAATGTACAGTATTTCCGGCTGCAGCAAGAAAGGGGCGCTGATGTGTTGCCATGCCAAGTTCTGCGCGCCGCACAAAGTCTTGTCACTCATACTTCTATGTTCTGTGTGTCCCCCCCTTTTATGATTTGATTGTCTAAATTATGCCAATAAAGGCCGAATGCATGTTCTCCAAAGCTTTCACGCGAAAACACCACAGTGAGACAGCATCGGTTCTCCTTTGCGTGATGAGCTGTTTCATTAGTTGCGAAAAGCACGCTGCAGCCGGAATTTTTTTATTTTGAACACACTTTCCACCCCTGGCAGTGATTTGTTGGTTTTGGTCACCCAAGGAATGGGGGCGTTTCTCCGCCCCCCCCCCCCAACATAAGCAAGCATTGCGCGGACCCGGAGACGTAACGGGAGGGTTGCGCTTGGAGATGTTATAATCTGAGGATGGAGATTTGTGAGAGAGGAGTATACTTCTCTCCAGGCATTCGCGCTAGCTGCCAATAACCCCGCGGCCGCTTAAAGCCCACCGATTTCCTTCGGTGGGATTTCAACAGCTAGCTGGGTGCCGTAGCTCCTGGGATTTGCAAAGCGAGGGCGCGCGCGTTTTGCAGAGCCTTGCCTCTTGCAAGCCTTGCTGCAGCTTCTCCTGCCCCTTTCCCGCCATCGCCCTTCCTATAGGTGCTCAGGTGGTTTTAAATTTCGCAGGAAGGCAGGACTCGCGCACGCGTCTCCCTGGCACGGCACCGAAGGCCTCTTCCCGTGTCGAGCAACTTCCGCTTGCGCGGAGGCTGTCATTGGCGGCTGCACGGCTTTGCGAGCATCTTGAAAACGCTGGAGACGCCGGATCTCTCCACCCACCCTCCCCGCTCTCTGTTTTCGGTATTTCTTGGAGATCGTAACAACACAGGGAGACTTCTCTTTTTAAATAGCAGTAATAATAATTCAGGAACACCCCCCCCCCCGACCTTGCAAAGATTTCCTATATTCCATCTGCTCTAGATTAACGACCCCGCGTTAAATCCAGGTAAGGAAAGCACTTTTTCTGCCGCCCTTGCAAAACTTCTCGGCGTTGTTTTGTTTCGCCCTTGAGGTGGCTGCTTTTTGTGATTGCCATGGCAAGGAATCTGATGGAAGATAAAGAGGACATTACTTGGTCACAACAACTAAAGCGGTTGCTAACCAGTTTAGTGTATCTCTGGGGTCGATCATTTGAAGTAATAAATTCATTTCAACCTGTGTGTGTCTGTGTCCCACCCTCCATCATTTATTTCAAACGTGTCTCCAACTCGTCATTTGTCATTTCTCTAGGTATTGCTTCTGCTGAAGGGAGACTGGTTTTTCCCAGCACTCAGAAGCAAAGTATTTGTATCTTTGGAGAAATGCAGCCTGTATTGCTAGGTGCCCACAACACCGTTAGCATTCTGTTGTTCACAGCACCCTGAGAGGATTGAAGGTGCAGGAGCAGTAGGAATGCCTATGAGTATAGATGAGCAGCAGCACTACTTATAATTCTACATGTTTTGTATTTTTTTTTATTGCAAGCTGCTGTGAGGACCTTAGAGTTAAAAAGTGGGGGGGGGGGGGGATATAAACAAATTTTGCCGTCTCTTCTTGCCTGGGCAGAGCATTAACTTTTCGTTTTTGCTCCTTTAAATTTTGAGAGTACAGTACTTGCAAAATTGTGCAATGTTTGGTTGTTTTATTTTTATTTTTTTAAAAAAAATGATTTTTATTAAAATTTCAGTAAAAGATTAAACAGAAAAACATAGAAACGAAGTACACAAACATACAGTACATAATCCAAAGAAGAATCAAAAACACAAAAATCAAAAAAAAGAAAAAAAGAAACAGAACAGTTAAAAACAATATCACCTTTTCATTTTCGTTTTTAAATTTACTTATTTTCTGGACCTCCTCATACCTCCCTCTTTTGTATTCCAGTCCAAATTGTTTGTCCAGCAATTTCTTTTCCACTTTTTTAATCCCAATCTTTAATCTTAATATAATATAGCATTAAAATTTTACCTCTTAAATACCAAATTTCCATTTCCTTAAACTTCTTTAATCCTAATCTTTAATCTTAGTCTATCTATAACTTTAAATCCTGTACAGCTGGAAACCACTTTTTTTCAATCCAACATCACTCTAGCATTCTTTAATTTTGCAATGTTTCTGCAGATAGTCTTTGAATTTCTTCCAATCTTCCTCCACCGACTCTTCTCCCTGGTCACGGATTCTGCCAGTCATTTCCGCCAGTTCCATATAGTCCATCAGTTTCATCTGCCATTCCTCCAGCGTGGGAAGTTCTTGTGTCTTCCAATACTTTGCGATGAGTATTCTTGCTGCTGTTGTTTCATACATAAAAAGAGTTCTATCCTTTTTTATCACCATTTGGCCGACCATGCCCAGGAGAAAGGCCTCTGGTTTCTTGGGGAAGGTATATTTAAATACCAATGTTTGGTTGTTTTATTAAACTAGGAATAACTGTTCGTCCTCATCTTTTTCCATCTCTTTAGCCATATAAACCTGTTCTGCTTCCATTACATTGTAACCGGCTACAGCTGTGCTACTGATGCTGACCAACACTGACACAAGCATAGAGTTATATTTACATTATTCTTCTCTTCCCTCCCCTCCCTCAGTTTTACATTCACATCAATCCTGTGAGGTAGGTTGCACTGTGAGACTATGACTGGCCCAAGGACAGCCAGTAAACTTCATTGAGGAGTCTGCAGTCCTAATCTCCCCTACTTTGTACTACTTGGTGGTTGTTGTTGTTTAGTTGTTTAGCCGTGTCCAACTCTTCGTGACCCCCTGGACCAGAGCACACCAGGCACTCCTGTCTTCCACTGCCTCCCGCAGTTTGATCAAACTCATGTTGGTAGCTTCGAGAACACTATCCAACCATCTCCTCCTCTGTCGTCCCCTTCTCCTTGTGCCCTCCATCTTTCCCAGCATCAGGGTCTTTTCCAGGGAGTCTTCTCTTCTCATGAGGTGGCCAAAGTATTGGAGCCTCAGCTTCACGATCTGTCCTTCCAGAGAGAGAGAGAATGCCTCCACTGATTTATTTGGGAAGATTTAAAAGCTAATTCAAATAATTCTTTTAAGTAGTGTGTGTAAGGATAACTGACTTCACGGGGCTTCCAAGTGTCTTTAAGGCAGCATTCCCATCCTGTGGACATTGAAGAAGTCTTGCATAGGCTAGCATTGGAGAGTGGGGGAGGCATATACTATGGTGTTTTTGTCCTCCCATTTTAAGTGATTCACTTGACTCAAGGCCCTTTTGGTACTTTTCGGTGAGTGACAGTTTTCATTATTCAACACCTTGAGAGACTGCGCAGTTAGCCCCATGTGACCCCTTCCTTGCCCTTCTCCCTCCTGCAGCCTCCCCGCACTGCTAGGTGTTCAAAAGGAACGCTGGCGTTATTATCACATGCAAGTGCCCAGCGTTGCCTTCCACTCCTGTCACGTTGCTTTCCTATATTCCTTTCTCGGCTGCTTTGCCCTGCCCACGTGCGCATGCCGGCTGCTCCCACCCCACCCTGCTTGCAGAAACGGAGGTGTGATGATCCAAGTAGGATTGCTTGCTGGGTTTCCCCGGCAGCAAGCAATTTGTCGCTTCTTCGCTCCCTGCTTAATTTCACGAACTTGTAAATATACATGGCTTGCTCTGTTGCTTGCAGTTTTATTCAAACCTGTTGCTGTTTCAATCCCTCTGGGGATCTGTATGATTTGCATAGAATATTAGGTGGCATTTGCTGTCTCTTCTCCTCAGTTCACAGGCATGTGTGTGAAGAATTTGGCTGGATATGCAAATCTGTTGCTTTCCAATCTTTGATGCTCACTCGGCTGTGATGGAAGTACGCTATTTGCCCTTTCTAAAATTCGGCTCATTTGGAGAAGGAACTTCCAAGTGAACTCTTGTGCCTTGCAAGCTGATGAATCTGCACTAGCCTTTAAAAATCCTGGAGAGATTATGTGTGTTTTTTTTGGGGGGGGGAGGGAGGTCTGTGCCACGGCTGTACAATGCAGAGTTCTAAGACTGCAAAAACCTCTGAGTGCAACAGGAAAAATGTTTCTGTGTGCACCAGCGGTAGGGCTGGTTTTCAACATCACGATATATCACCAGCTAAACGTTGTGATAGGGATGCGGGTGGCGCTGTGGGTTAAACCACAGAGCCTAGGACTTGCCGATCAGAAGGTCGGCGGTTCGAATCCCCGTGACAGGGTTAGCTCCCGTTGCTTGGTCCCTGCTCCTGCCAACCTAGCAGTTGGAAAGCACGTCAAAGTGCAAGTAGATAAATAGGTACCGCTCCGGCAGGAAGGTAAACGGCGTTTCCGTGCGCTGCTCTGGTTCGCCAGAAGCGGCTTAGTCATGCTGGGCACATGACCCGGAAGCTGTATGCCGGCTCCCTCGGCCAATAAAGCGAGATTAGCGCCGCAACCCTACAGTCGGTCACGACTGGACCTAATGGTCAGTGGTCCCTTTACCTTTACCTTTATAAACGTTGTGATATATCTGTATATCACAATGTCTGACATAAGGATGGAACTATGTAGAGGCGAAAAGTAGGGCTTGGGCGTTCAACATCGTGATATATCACTAGCTAAACAGCGCGATGTAGCATCGCAATTCGCGATACGTGACCAGATCAAAAGTTATGAAACCGTTACAGTGGTGCCTCGCAAGACGAAATTAATTCGTTCCGCGAGTTTTGTCGTCTTGCGATTCTTTTCGTCTTGCGAAGCACAGTGTCGGGAAAGTTTTGGAAAAGCTTCAGAAAATCACCAAAGTCTTCAAAAACCTCAAAAAAGGCTACCACACCGCGTTCTATGAGTTGCTTCTCGAAGCCAAGTCGCAACTGTATTAACGGTGTTAAGAAAAAGGAAACAAACTTGCAAGACGTTTCCGTCTTGCGAAGCAAGCCCATAGGGAAAATCGTCTTGCGAAGCGGCTCAAAAAACAAAAAACCCTTTCGTCTAGCGAGTTTTTTGTCTTGCGAGGCATTCGTCTTGCGAGGTACCACTGTATTACGCTATGGACATCAAACTGGTTTTGGATGATATATTGCCCAGCCCTAGTGTGTGAATTAAAAATAGCTGGGGGAGTCTGCAGTACCCCTTTCCCCTATGCACACTGGGACTAGTCCCCCTCCATCTAGATATCTGATCACCTTGTGAGTGCTGATGGAATCAAGGTAGCTCATAGTTGTCTTGTTTTTTCACATGTGAAACATGCAGGAATAGATTGCAGAACAGTAATCTACCATAGGTTATTTGAGGAGGGCTTCAGTACATGCTGGTGATGGTTGGAAATGGGGTAAACTGCATGAATTGTGCAAAATGCTTGCAAATGGGAGAGATTCAAAGTGTCTTCGTTGGCCAGCCAGCCAGCCAGGCCCTGTAAGTTCTGCCACGCATGGGCAAAATTTGCTTTGGACACAAAAGGAAAACGTTTTTCTGGCCATCTTAACATGATGCCGTGTCTCTTCTGAAACACCTTTTGCTGATCCATCGATGTTGTGCTGGGGATGGGGCCGCTTTCTTGACCCACTTCACATTCACTGGCTTTTGTTAGCGCACAGCGGTGCGGAGAGCGGTTGAGAATGCGGCCTGTTATGCAACTCAGGTACACTTTCCCTGGTAGGCTATTGACTTTCTCATACTTCCCCAGGGGGCCAGTTTCCTTGGAAATTTGAATGAAACTAGGCCCCAGTCACCTGCGGGGAGGAGCAAGAAATCACATGTGAGCTGTGGCTCATAGGGTGCCTGAATAAGCCATGATGTGCAGGGTTGTTTTGGATCAATGTGGTTGCATTGTAAGAACTGAGGCCAGTGAGGGCTGAAAACAGTTTTCCTAGGGATTCTCATCGTCTTCGTTTTACTCCAAATCTCAAAATAAACCCAGGGTCCTGGTACCCCCAAAGACTTACCTGTGCACACAACAATTCTTTCTTTCCTTGTCTTAGTTTTACTTCGTTTTAACTGTAAACTCAAAGAGATAAGAAAGTTACCAGTTGTGAGCGCCATCTTTTATATAGGGCTTTATAGTGTGTACAGCAGGCCTTTGCCCCCGATGTTGTACTCCAGCTCCCATCATCATGGGCCATTGGCTATGCTGGTTGGGACTGGTGAGGGTTGGGAGCCCAGTAACACCTCAAAGGTCACAAGTCCTCCCCATTCTCCTGGGTTTGCATTCTCCTGGTCCCAATCCCATGCTTTGCATATGATGTCCCAATCCTTAAAACAATCCCTGTATGGTAGGTTAGCGTTTTGTCCATACTGGAGATGGAGGTGAGTCACAGCTTGCCCAAATCACATAATTATAATGCAAGAATTATACAGTGGTACCTTGGGTTACAGACGCTTCAGGTTACATACGCTTCAGGTTACAGATTCCACTAACCCAGAAATAGTACCTCAGGTTAAGAACTTTTCTTCAGGATGAGAACAGAAATTGTGCTCCGGCGGCAGCGGGAGGCCCCATTAGCTAAAGTGGTGCTTCAGGTTAAGAACAGTTTCAGGTTAAGAACAGACCTCTGGAACGAATTAAGTACTTAACCCGAGGTACCACTGTATTGATATCTCCTAGTTTATATGCTGTTCTAACAGCCGAGTGTCAGAATCTCCTTTGCCACGAGTGAATTAGGGCCAATGCCTACAAACAAATGCATGGAGGACACGAAATCGCTTGCTGCACCAGTGAGCTGTTGATAAATGGTGGCTCACCCAGTGTTAGATACTCAGATGTTTAATCTAGGTGCCAGATGACTCCTTAAACCGGTGGTTTTCAACCAGTGTGCCGTAGCACCCTGGGCTGCCTTGAATGATGGTCAGGGATGCTGTAGGCAACACTGGCCTCTGTCCCTCCATCGTCTGATGCCCTCTCACATCTCTGCCTCCCAAAGGCTTGCACAGCTGTTTGTTGCAGCAGCCCTGGCTATAAGCTCCATCGGTGAATGGTGCCTCTGGGAGGGCACCTCTATTTGGGGCAAGGGCGGGCAGCTCAAAGACTGGGGCAGCAGCTACGGCTGCCCAGAGGACTCTGAAGGAGAGGGGAGAGGAGGCTGAGGGAACATTCCACAAGGAAGGGTGTTCAAAAAAAGGATGAGAGGTTGCCAGCTCTGCAGGCAAGGGGAGACACAACTGGGCTCCTGAGCCACACAAGGGTGCCTCAGAAAGAATATAGTTGGTTAAGGGAGCCATGAACTCAAAAAGGTTGAAAACCTCTGCCTTAACCAAGGTTGCAGTCACCAGAACAGAATGTCTATTTGCCATTTTGGGGCATGACTGCTCTAAAGTCTTTATTTTTCAACTGATGGACGGACTGACTGGCTGATTCTCAGTTAAACATCTGGCTAGTTCAGATGACAACCTTGAAAGCTAGGCTAAGAACTTTGAGAACTTAAAAGAAGAAAAGTGACTTGATTCAAGGATATATATTGGCTTATTCCAAGCTCTTTTTTCTCAATGGTGACTACTCCTCCTCAGGCGGCACAGAAAAAGCAATTAGGTCCCAGAAATACTTTCCGATTGTGCAGCTAAAATATGAGTGATAGAATTCTATAGGATGGGGGTATTAGTGTGTGGAAAACGGTCCAGATCCAATGATCCCCAGGCATGCACCTCCAGATAGTGTTGTCAGGCACCATCCTGGTACCCAGGCATTTTCACTTGATCACAAGTGGCTGAAAGCCAGGTGCAAGATGCGCCTAGCGTCTGGCTAATTTTGAACATTGCACACCTGATCTGGTTAACGCTGAATTTTGTAGTGGTTCAAAGAGATCTACCTGCTGCTGCTCATGTTCATGTTATCACACAGAGTAGCTGCAGCAAAATGAAGTGGCCACTGTGGAGATTCTGGTTCCAAGATGCATCATCTTTTGGTTTTGAAATGGAGGAGGTGGCAAGGTTCAAGCCTGACTGGGAGCCATGCTGAATAACCTCAGATGGTGGGTGCGACTGATCTTCAGTGGAAGATCTGCACTCCCCTGCGGGCATCTCCTTGCATAATTACGGTTGCTTCACATGTTCCAGGATTAAGCCCTGGGTTTCAGAGTAGGTTTTAAGGCAGAGCCTGACTCGGAGCACTGGGCCTAGACCCATAGGAAGAGAAGGATTCAGTGTTAACAGGCCATTTAGAGTGTTTTAGCAAGGCCTGCTCAGCCATTAGGCAGGATGCAGCTGCTGCCTCAGGCAGCAGAAGCCCCTGAAGCAGCGCCCCCATGGCTGCCCTGCCTGTACCGCTGCCAGCGACGGAGAAGCAGCGCCAACATCTGCGCCAGTTTCGGGTGAGGTCACATCCATTTGAGGTGAGAGCTAACCCCAAATCAGCACGATCTCGCCTGAAATCGACACGGATGCAGCACAGCGGTTGCGGCAAGCAGTAGCGGCGACAGGTCTGGTGGCAGCAGTGTTAGAAACTCAGAGATGTAATCTTTGTTGTTGTTGTTTAGTCGTTTAGTCGCATCCGACTCTTCGTGACCCCATGGACCAGAGCACGCCAGGCACTCCTGTCTTCCACTGCCTCCCACAGTTTGGTCAAACACATTCGAGAACACTGTCCAACCATCTCGTCCTCTGTCATCCCCTTCTCCTTGTGCCCTCCATCTTTCCCAACATCAGGGTCTTTTCCAGGGAGTCTTCTCTTCTCATGAGGTGGCCAAAGTATTGGAGCCTCAGCTTCAGGATCTGTCCTTTCAGTGAGCACTCAGGGCTGATTTCCTTAAGAATGAATCGGTTGGATCTTCTTGCAGTCCATGGGACTCTCAAGAGTCTCCTCCAGCACCATAATTCAAAAGCATCAATTCTTCGGCGATATAGATACAAGCTAGGCGCCAATTGTCTCTTTAAACCAGGGTTATAGTTGGCAAAACAGGCTGCCTAGTTGCCATTTTTGGGGCCGGACGGTTCAAAAAGTTGTATTTTTCAATACGACTTTTAGGTTCCTGAAATTCATTCCGATGGTGCCGATAAAATATACCCGATAGAGTTCTACAGGATGTGGTTGCTAGTGTGTGAAAACAGTCAAGATTCAAGGACCCCTCAGGCTCGCACCTCGAGATGGTGGAGACCTCAGGTGCCATCTTGGCGCCTTGGCATCTTCACCTGGTCGCAAGTGGCCAATAGCCAGGTACAAAGTGTGCTTGGTGCCTGGGTAATTTCGAACAGTGGTCAGCCTGCCCCTACAGTGCTGGTCTTACTTGCCAATTCTCCATAACGAGACTTCAAGCTGCCGCTTGCCAGAGGTTGTGCTAAGATGTCAAAATCCCAATCTTCCCCCACTGAATATTGCATCCACCTAGCCAAGATACCCCAGAGGTATTTGAGCATGAGTCTTAAGTCACCGTATTTTTTGCTCTATAAGACTCACTTTTTCCCTCCTAAAAAGTAAGGGGAAATGTGTGTGCGTCTTATGGAGCGAATGCAGGCTGCGCAGCTATCCCAGAAGCCAGAACAGCAAGAGGGATTGCTGCTTTCACTGCGCAGTGATCCCTCTTGCTGTTCTGGCTTCTGAGATTCAGAATATATTTTTTTCTTGTTTTCCTCCTCCAAAAACTAGGTGCGTCTTGTGGTCTGGTGCGTCTTATAGAGCGAAAGATACGGTGTGTGGTTGCAGAAGAGGTTTGGGCTCCCAAACATTTCTCCTCAACTTGCACACACACATACGCATCCTCCCTGCTGCATAGTGACCTTTGTTATCGTGACATCCTAGAGTCTGGAAAGTAGGTTAGAATTCTGCAGCGCTTTGTGTAAGTGGGCCAGTTACACAAACCAGGTTACGTCCTGTCATTTTGAAATCAGTGTGAACTCCAGTAGTGGTGGATTGGGGTGAGTTAAGAAGGGGTTGCCTTGTCGAGAAGTGAGTGGAGAAAACGCAACTCCTTTTCCTACTCCTCTTTAGCAACCCAAAGTTTTGCCAGTTGTCTGCAGTCTTCTAGTTCCCAGCAGCTTCTCTCTTTCCCTCTCGTCTTAAAAGCTCCAGGAATTTTGGAAGCAGTCCATCTGCATGCGCCTGAGGAGTTTGCGTGCATGAAGCCCCAGGAACTGGAAGGTTCTGCTGGTAAAATAAACTTACACAGGAGTAACGTGAGAAATCCCTTCTCTGCTTTCTGATCTGTAGGCCAGGAAAGGAGTTTTATCAGTCCTCCCTCTCATGATATTCTTCATGGTTCTTTAAGGCTGTGGCAGTTCTGTTATATCTCTGCTTCAATAGCCTTGGCTATTGGAAAAGCTGAGGTTCAGGGCATGGGTAGGCGATAGCAGAAGCGTTTCTGAAGATCTATAGTCAATTTGCATGGAAATCTTAGTTTGCTGTAGAGAAGACATGTGCAACAGCTCTACCTGTTTTAGAATGCTTTAGCTTCTGAGCAACGGGTCTGCGGATTTTGGCTGAGATTTATAGCCAAGCATTGTTTCCGGCAAAGTTCCACTTTTTCACTTCCTGACCTGCAGAGACAAGGTAAGTCTCTTTTGCATTCCCTGGCAGGGGACAAGTAGCGCGTTTACGGCAACCTTTCTTGTCCATCCCATGACGCTGGTTGGTGCTGTGTCCCAGCAAACTAACTTAAATGTCCATTCACCTGCTGGTGGTAATATTTGAGGATCGCAGCTTCTGAAGTTTGCTAATTGCATGGGAGAGGGGGGCAGGGAGCTGCAATTAGCTAATTTGTGGGGTAATAAAGGGACGCAGGTGGCGCTGTGGGTTAAACCACAGAGCCTAGGGCTTGCTGATCAGCAGGTTGGCAGTTCGAATCCCCGTGACAGGGTGAGCTCCCATTGCTCGGTCCCTGCTTCTGCCAACCTAGCAGTTTGAAACCACGTCGAAGTGCTAGTAGATAAATAGGTACCACTCCAGCGGGAAGGTAAACGGCGTTTCCGTGCGCTGCTCTGGTTTGCCAGAAGCGGCTTAGTCATGCTGGCCACATGACCCGGAAAGCTGTACGCTGGCTCCCTCGGCCAGTAAAGCGAGATGAGCGCCGCAACCCCAGAGTCAGTCACGACTGGACCTAATGGTCAGGGGTCCCTTTACCAAAAGGGAAGAGAATTGCATAGCAATAGGAGAACATGGATTGTATGAACCCGATCTCCTAATGTGGCCAAACAAGGGTTGTCTTGGTTGTGTCTGCCTGATAGCCAATTAGTAGGTGATCAGTTTAGCGTCTGTTGATTCTGCATTCGCAAAGAATTGTGAATTTTTGCTTGGTTGTGTGACTACTGCAGTTGGGAGACTTAGGCTCTTGAGAGCATCCCTTTAAAAAAAAAAAGCTGTGTGGATAAACATGAGTTCACATAGTCACTTAAGATCAGGCATAGGCAAACTCCAGCCCTCCAAATGTTTGGGACTACAATTCCCATCATCCCTGACCACTGGTCCTGTTAGCGAGGGATGATGGGAATTGTAGTCCCAAACATCTAGAGAGCCAGAGTTTGCCTATGCCTGCTTAAGATGGTTCTTCTGTGCATCCTAGGCAATGAATTTGTATCTCAGTTGGGAGACTATAGGCGAGTCTGTTGTATTAATTTTTTGTAGCCAACATGTATTTATATAGAGAATAACATGTTGCAGAATACGCTTGCGAAAAACCGTCAGGGCAGTCCCTCTGACTTTCAACACTGCCCTCAGTAATTACTTGGGCCACATAGAAAGTGGCATGTGCTGTAAAATGTTTATCAACATCTGGGGAGGTGAGAGGGAGTGTATGAGAACTATGTGGTACTTTATTTCCTTTCTCCAGATTTTGAGATAATGGCAAGAGTTGGTACCAGCCTTTCTTGCTTGCTGAAGCCAGACATACTGTACATGATTTTATTTTTTGCATTTTCATTCTATGTTTCTCCCCTCAATGTGCCATATATGTTTTATCCCCATCCTCAGTTACCGTATTTTGCGCTCCATAGGACGATCCGGCCCATAGGGCGCACCTAGTTTTTTGGGGGGGAAATAAAGAAAAATATTTTTATTTCCCCCCCAGGTGTGGGGCTGGAAGAACTAGGTCGGGGAACAGCGGGTAGGCGCGCTCTGGCTCCCCGGTGTCCCCCGTGCTTGTGGGGCTGGCGATGGGGAGAAGTGCGCTGATCCCGGGACTGCAGGCAGCTCTGCGCGGCCATCGGTAGCGGGGCGGGACTTCGCGCCCTGCTCCTGGTGGCCGCGCAGAGCTGCGCTGAGCCGGGCGGCAGGCAGCTCTGTGCCGCCATCCGGAGCGGGGCGGGACTTCGCGCCCGGCTCCTGGTGGCCGCGCAGAGCTGCGCTGAGTCGGGGACGGCAGGCAGCTCTGCGCCGCCATCCGGAGCGGGGCGGGACTTCGCGCCCCGCTCCCGGTGGCCGCGCAGAGCTGCGCTGAGTCGGGACGGCAGGCAGCTCTGCGCCGCCATCCGGAGCGGGGCGGGACTCGCGCCCAGCTCCCGGTGGCCGCGCAGAGCTGCGCTGAGCCAGGGACGGCAGGCAGCTCTGCGCAACCCTCGGAGTCAGTCTCCCGAGGGTTGCGCAGAGCTCCTGAAGCCTGGAGAGCGCGAGGGTCAGTGCGCACCGACCCCTCTCGCTCTCCAGGCTTAAGCGAAAGCCTGCATTCGCCCCATAGGACGCACACACATTTCCCCTTCATTTTTGGAGGGGAAAATGTGCGTCCAATGGTGCGAAAAATACGGTAATTCCCACAACAACCGATGTAGGTTAGGCTGAGAAGCAGCAACAGAGTGGGGATTTGAACTCTAGCCTCGAAGCCCAGAGCCTATTAGAACAACAATCAGCAGAAAAAGGAGGGGTCATCAAGGAGGACTGCGCTTCAAAATATTAAAATTGAGAACAATGTGGGAAAAGCCCCCTGCGTGATTATAGAAATAAGGAATGGCCAAATAAAACAAGATAGTGAGTTATACCAGCGACTGACTGATCGCGAGAGGAGATTGTTAATATCAGGATTGGAAAATTGTGAAGTAATAAAGAAGATAGCAGAAAGATAAAGGATGGGCATTTGGCTTTTGAAATCCAGAACATGGGAAGTCCCACTGAAATTAATTAATTTGGATTATATAATTGGCTATATTGTTTTTTGTATGTGGAAAGATTTGGTTTGAATTTGTTATTAATGTGAATGTTTTTTTAATTGGAAAATGAATAAAAATTATTTACAAAAAAGAGGAAAAAAAGAACCCTAGCCTTGTGAGGTTCTTTTTTTTTTAAGAATACATTTTTATTAATTTTTAACATATTAACATTCATACAACAGAACTTCACATCTTATACAATATTTTTTGGACTTCCGTCAATGCCTCTGATGATTTTCCGTTCTTATCACTTATGCATTTCTTAATTTCATATTACCTTTAATTATCTTTAACTAATAATTATCCTCATTGTCTTTTTTTGCAGTATTTCAAATAATCCACCTTGCAAACCTACTTGCGTAATCTGTCCATCACTATTACTTTTCAAACGCAGTAGTCTGTAAATTTCCTCCAGTCTTCTGAGAATCTCTGGTCCCGCAGGTTTCGAAGCCTTCCTGTTAGTTTATCTAATTCTGCATAGTCCATCAATTTCATTCTCCATTCTTCTTTCGTTGGTAATTCTTCTTGCTTCCAGTTTTGTGCCAAAGCCTTGTGAGGTTCTAGTCCGACACAGTAACCCCTGGCAAGCCAGTGCCTGGATTTCTGCAGGCAGCAAAAGCCATTTTGTTTTACTGTGAAAATCTCTGAAATGAGAAGTAATCGACTATAGAATAACAAAAATTAAAAAAAACTAGAATTAAACAAAAACTTAACAAGATGCCGGCTACAAAGCTCGTTTCACTGAACTAATCAGTTTCCTCAGAAGGAAATAAAGAAATTATAAGATTTTAAGTGATATCAAACAAGCTCTGGAGCAGGGCTAGAAATGCTTCCTCGAGTTTACAAAAAAGGTATGAAAACCATATGCTACAACAGCAGCAAGAATACTCATTGCAAAGTATTGGAAGACACAAGATCTACCCACTCTGGAAGAATGGCAGATGAAGGTGATTGACTACATGGAATTGGCGGAAATGACTGGCAGAATCCGAGACCAGGGAGAAGAGTCGGTGAAAGAAGACTGGAAGAAATTTAAAGACTATTTACAGAAATATTGTAAAATTAAGGAATCTTAGAAGGATGTTGGATAGAAACTAAGAGGTTTTTAGCTGTAATGCTTTAAGAGATATGAAAAAAGGTTTACAATTGGGTAAAAGCTTAATGGTAAGGATTTGCTGAACTAACAAACTGAACGGGAATACAAAAAAGGGAGGTACGAGGAGGTCCGGGGAAAGAAGTGTAGGGAAGATAGGTTATGGAAAATTAATGTCTTTTTAACTGTTTTATTTTGTATGTTTCTTTTTATTTTTTACTTTTTTGTTATATTTTAAAAACTTTATCTTTTTTTTGTATTCTGTATTTTTTGTATTTTTTGAAACTTTAATAAATATCATTTTTTTAAAAAAAGGTATGAAAACCTCAATGACAAGTTTTAAACATAGCCCTATTTAACTTGTTTGAGTCTCTGCTTTGTGAATGACACAGCACCTCTGTGGCTTAATGTTGCTTCTGTTCTCCGCAGGCTCCCTTCTTTCACTTAGGCTGAGATTTATGGACTTGTACATGATGAATTGCGAACTCTTGGCGACGTGCAGCGCCCTGGGCTTCTTGGAAGGGGACACCTACCACAAAGAGCCGGATTGCTTAGGTGAGAGACCCCAGGGGGTAGCAGGTGTATATTGGAGGTTTAAAGGGGGGGGGTGCGGTATGCCTGTCACAAACAGACTCATTAATGGAGCCAGTTGATATGGGGATGTGGATGGGGGATGCATTTTAGGGAAGCGTGTGATTTTTATACACTTAGAAAAACCGATCCGTCATAAGAGCACAAGACTCTTAATCTCAAGGTTGTGGGTTCAAGCCACCTTGGGCAAAAGATTCCTGCATTGCATAAGAAATAATAATAATAATAATAATGTTGTAATTTATATCCTGCCCATCTGGCTGGGTTTCCCCAGCCACTCTTTGCAGCTTGCGGCATATACAGGTGAAACTCGGAAAATTAGAATATCGTGGAAAAGTTCATTTATTTCAGTAATTCAACTTAAAAGGTGAAATTAATATTTGAGATAGACTCGCAAAGCAAGATATGTCAAGCCTTTATTTGTTATAATTGTGATGTTATAGTTGTGGCTGTTAAACAATAAATAACAATGATATATGTGTGTGTGTTTCAGTACCTCATGTTACATACACTTCAGGTTACATATGCTTCAGGTTACAGACTCCGCTAACCCAGAAATAGTACCTCGGCTTAAGAACTTTGCTTCAGGATGAGAACAGAAATCGTGCTCTGGCGGCGCGGCGGCAGCAGGAGGCCCCATTAGCTAAAGTGGTGCTTCAGGTTAAGAACAGTTTCCGGTTAAGTACGGACCTCCGGAACGAATTAAGTACTTAACCTGAGGTACCACTGTATTGTCAAGATAATCAGGGGTTTCTGTTTTCTCCGTTTTTAAAAAGGGCTTCTTCTTTTTGCAGCAATAATATTACTTCTTGTATAACCTTGCTTAATTTTTAAGTGGTGGGACAGGAATTCCATGTGCTTTTTTGTTTTACATCCTTTCCATTGTTGCTCCCACATAACCCTTCTCTCCCTGCCCATCTCTCCGTGTTCAGAGAGTGTGAAAGACTTGATCCGCTACCTGCGCCACGAAGATGAGACGAGGGATATTCGGCAACAGCTGGGGGCGGCGCAGATTCTGCAAAATGACCTGATCCCTATCATCGTCCAATACCCTCAAGACAAACAGCTCTTTGATGCTGTTATCAGGTAACCCGCGTGGGTGAGGGATGACTTGCTTGGCTCCTGTAGGTTTAATAAAACCCATACATTAATATTATAATAATCAGGAGCTCACCAAGTTAATAGCTAAATATCGTCGAAACACATTGCAGATGTCTGATCTCCCTGGAGACCTAGAGATGTAATGTTAGACTGCTTTGCTTCTTACATTTGACAAATGTTTTCTGTCACTGGGAAGGCGGTAATTCTGTATTGATTTGCTATGGATGTTTGTATGCGATGCCAATAAAAGGTTTGATGAAGGAATTAATATTATTCATGTATGTACAATGTTCCCTGACAGCGCTTTGATGAGAGACAGGACTAATAACTCATTTCAGTCCAAAGCCTTGATTGTGAAGAAGTCGGAGGTCATGGTGTAAGGGTATACAATGCATAAAATTGGGATACAGTCATACCTTGGATTAAAGTAGCTTCGGGATGAGTATTTTCGGGTTGCACGCTGCGGCGACCCAGAAGTAATGGAGTGCGTTACTTCCGGGTTTTGCCGCTCGCGCATGCGCAGATGGTCAAAATGATGTCATGCGCGGAAGCGGTGAATCGCAACCCACAGACACGGGTTGTGTTCGCTTCAGGATACGAACGGGGCTCCGGAACGGATCCCATTCGCATCCAGAGGTACCACTGTATATCTAAGGAGTGACCCTTTATAAGGAGATACAAAAATACTCTGAAAAAAGGAATGCCTGCAAAAATTGTGACAGGAACTTTGATAATGTTCCCAGCTTTCTTTAATTTTGATCTGCTTCATCTGTCGTGGAGCTACGGCCCGATGGCAAACCACCACTCTCTGATCTGGATTGGGCCTGTATAATTTGTGGCCCGCAAAGCTGAATGCAGCCTCCTAGGGACACAATAAGGGAAGAGTGACATTCAACCAAGTTTTATTCAGAATTAAAATGAACTTGGTCGTATTGATTCATTTCCTTGGCTCTGCTCTGAGTAAGACTTGGTTGAATGCCACCTAGAGTTTAAGATGAGTGTTCCTCCTGAGAGAGCCCTTTCTCTTGTGGCCATATACCTAGAATCATAGAATTGTAGAGTTGGAACCCAAGGGTCATCTAGTCCAACCCCCTGCGATGCAGGAATCTCACCTAGACCTTCCAACCTTAAAAACCTCCAAGGCGGAGAGTCCACCATCTCCCAAGGGAGTCCATTGCACTGTCAAACAGAGCTTACCGTCAGAAAGTTCTTCCTGGTGTTTATACATAATCCCCTCACTTGTAACGTGAATCCATTGGTTTGAGTCCTACCCTCGAGAGCAGGAGAAAACAAGCTTGCTCCATCTTTCATGTGACAGCCCTTTAGATATTTGAAGATGGCGATCATATCACCTCTCGGTCACCTCTTCTCCAGACTAAACATACCCGGCTTCCTTAGCTGTTCCTCATAAGGCTTGGTTTCCAGACCGTTGGTTGCCCTCTGAAAGCAGGATCCTGAACGTGGCTTTGCTTAATGATCAGAAGAGATGGGCCTGTTTTTTTCCTACTATGAGAAAAGGTGCTTCTTTGTAATGCACTCTAATTTTAAGACTTAAAATGAGCCCCAAAGACTGTATCATCTGCTGGTTTTAAACCTGGCTCCAGAAAGCCTCAGGTAAAATAAATTTCAGTTCTTCCTCCTTATTTCTCACATTCGCTCTCCTTGAACAGAGCAGGCCAGCCAGTGGAATCTCTAGTTTTATCAGTGGCAGCCTTAAGCAGAGAACCACTAGTCCCATCAAGGCTGTCACTCGCTTAGGACTCCGTGAAGCTATTTCACAATAATTGTTGGAGCCTCTTATTTTGTTTTCTTTTTCTCCTAGGTTAATGGTAAACTTAACCCAGCCAGCTGTCCTCTGCTTTGGCAAACTCCCCCAAGAAGCCAGCTTCCGACACCATTTCCTGCAAATTGTCTCTTATCTGCAGGCTTACAAAGAAGTGAGTGGTTCGTACTGGTGTCGCTCATCTTCCAGTTCTTCCTGGGATCCATGTGGGACTGCCTTGTGTTTCTTGAGCAGCACCACATTTTTATTAATAAGAAATACATTGGAAAACAAAAGAGAAACAACTACTATCAGTGCTTGATTTATAGCGTAGAATGCAACTGCTTTATACCTTGGTTTACGAACTTAATCCATTCCGGAAGTCAGTTCTTAAACCAAAGCATTCTTAAACGAAGGCATGGTTTCCCATAGCAGCGGGGGGCTTAATTTACAAATGGAACACACTCAACAGGAAGCGGAACATGTTCTGCTTCCAAGGCAAAAGTTCACAAACCAAAACACCTACTTCCGGGTTTGCAGTGTTCTTAATCCAAGTTGTTCATAAACTAAGCTGTTCTTAAACCAAGGTGCCACTGTAATATGATCACGGGACACCCAGAAAGCATTAAACAATGCAGCTACATAAGAACGTGAATAATTCCCCAAATATGAACAAGTCTTTGCTAGCACTGTGTGATTCGGGATTACAACTGGGTTTGCCCCCGGTATCACTGGATGCTCTTCCTCTTATCTATCCATATTCTGCAACGACAACAGAAATACCGTATTTTTCACTCCATAAGATGCACTTTTTTTGTCCAGAGGCAAAAAGCAGATCATGCTTTTTTTTTTTTTTGGAAAGAGAAGACTAAAGCAATAAGGAGAGAAATTAGAAGAAAAGGAGGAGCAAAAAAACTGCTCCAGCTAAGGAAAAGACACTAAGGCAAACAAGAGGGAAGGGAGTGTTGAAAGGAAACAGCGGATCGGTGGGATCAGAAGAGAGATAAGAGACGCTAGCGGAGGCTGCCTGGGAGGGGGGAGGTAAAAGCCCAAGGATCCTCAGGATTTTTACATTGGGTCACCCCAAATTCACCATCAGATCACATAGTGTGTCCATGGCTAAAGCCTGCACCAAAAAAAATCACTCACCCACTTGCTTGGGGCCGCTATGACGCAAAAACGTTACAAAGCATGGATCTGTTGGCTATTTGCAGTTTAGTAGCGCTGCAGAGAGCTTGCTGGGGAGACCATGCATTAAAAGGGAATCAAAAAGTACTTAAACAAGGTTTTAATAAGAAAAACAAAAACTCCAGTTACACTAAATACATCAACAGCCATGACCCAACCACCAACCCATCCCCCAGGGTAATGGGAGAGCTAGGTGCTACTCCTTATATACTACACCCAATTGCTGACACAGCTTAATCAATACAACTCAGCAGCACCTGCTGTGTTTCACAGCTGTAAAGCTGGGTCTCGTTATCTTGCTCTGGCCCCTTAAAGGCATACACATCGGGTGGAACAATGATGAACCTTTACATTTAAAGAAACCATTCAACAGGATCCACATGGATCCTCAGGATTTTTGCATTGGGTCACCCCAAATTCACCATCAGATCACATGTCTGTGGCCACAGCATGAACCACAAAAATCATACATCCACTGTTTCGTTCAGAATATTCTTTTTCTTGTTTTCATTCTCTAAAAACTAGGTGCGTCTTCCAGTCGGGTGCGTCTTGCGGAGCGAAAAATATGCCATGCTACACTATACTACACCGAAACATTTCAATGTTTCTTTGATTGCCCTTGAACCTTCCTGCCGTGCTTGTCATCCTCTCCTGCCACACCCTCCGACAACCACTGCTCTAGGGGTGTTGTAAACAAAAATTGCCCTTTTCCCTTATGGGGTATCCAAGAGCCCATATAGAGTCCTTACATAGGTTCCCTATTGGTAGGAGAGAATAACAGAGGCCAACCAGAGAATACTGAGAAGCAAAGCAGCTAGTAAGCTTGATCTTTATTGATCTGTTGCAACAGAGTGCTCCCCTCACCCACAGGAGAGGAGGAGGAACCCCGAAAAATGGCGTGCAAGGCCTTATAAAGACTTTTGAAATTCCCACCCTGTAGATCAGGACCACCCCCAGAAACATCATATATACATCACAGAAGGGGTGTAACCTAAGACCACCCCTCAGATACATCGCACCTACATCACAGAAAAGGTGGTCTAAAACAGAAATTTGAATATTGTTTTTCTCTTGTTGTTTATCTCCTGTCCGGCACGTTACTTGATTGGATTGCCTGGGGAGCCTGGCCAGTCTTTTGTAGTGATAAATACTTAGTTCCTGGGGCAGGTCAAAAGCTCACACCCTATTCAAACACAGACATACCCTTAAGACAGGATTTGTGAAGGAAAAGACAGTGGGGAGGCTTTTCCACTTTGACCTTGCAGAGAAAACATTTGTTCAGTTTGGGACAGTTTGGGAATCAAAATGGTTCCAAGTCGGTCTTCCTGTGCTGATCTATGTACGTGCTTGGTTGGTACGCTTATGAACATTACCATATATCTAAGGTCATAAAATTCCTATCACGGGGAGACTAACACGCTTCCTTCCCCACCTTGTAGGCATTTGCCAACGAGAAGATCTTTGGGGTACTGAGTGAAAAACTATATGACCTGCTGCAGCTGGTGAGTAGTACCGTTTTGGTCACAGAAGCAGCGCTTTGTGGGGAATCCACTCCCCAAGTGCAGGGAGCCAGAAGGGATTTAGGGAAAGGATGTGGAAGGGGACCAAAAAAAAGGGGGGTGAGGGCAAGGTTGGGTTTTGGGTGGAGGCAAAAAAGCTCTGCCCCATGAACCCACTTGTGTTGTGGGGGGTTTATATATGATGACCTGCCCCTTCCTTCCTTCCTGCCCCCAGGACTGGGAACAGCGTCAGGAGGAGGATAACCTCTTAATCGAGCGGATCCTGCTGCTCGTGCGCAATGTGCTGCACGTCCCGGCCGATCCCGATGAGGAGAAGGTACTCGCATGTCTGAAGGGGGGGCACCCGATTGTGGTCAGGCTGCTACTGGTCTAGGGCTTTGCCTGAAGGTGTAAAAGAAACACCTGAGCCATTGCAGAGGTTCACCTACCTGTATCTCTGCTTTCACAGCAGTCACTGCTTTGTTGTTTTTTTATACCCCGTTTTAGGGTGAATTACTGTACTTTTCCGTGTACAGTGGTACTTCAGGTTAAGTACTTTATTCGTTCTGGAGGTCCGTACTTAACCTGAAACTGTTCTTAACCTGAAGCACCACTTTAGCTAATGGGGCCTCCTGCTGCTGCTGCGCTGCCGGAGCCTAATTTCTGTTCTCATCCTGAAGCAAAGTTCTTAACCTGAAGCACTATTTCTGGGTTAGTGGAGTCTGTAACCTGAAGCGGATGTAACCTGAAGCATATGTAACCTGAGGTACCACTGTACAAGACAAGGTTTTCATATTTTAAAACTGTGTTTAAAAATTGGGGGGTTGTCTTATACAGTATGTAACTTCAGGTTACATACGCTTCAGGTTACAGACTCCACTAACCCAGAAATATTACCTCAGGTTAAGAACTTTGCTTCAGGATGAGAACAGAAATCTTGCTCCGGCGGCAGCAGGAGGCCCCATTAGCTAATATGGTGCTTCAGGTTAAGAACAGTTTCAGGTTAAGAACGGACCTCCGGAACGAATTAAGTACTTCACCCGAGGTACCACTGTGCACGGATAGTACACATAGGTGGGACGTGGTTTTTGTTGCTGTGGTGAGCTGGAGATTGTCAGCGGCTGTTGGGCGTGTTATTGGTGGCTTCAGCAAGGGCCACCCGCCCCTCCCAAAAGCTCAACAACTCTGGGCTACCCTTTCCCCCCAAAAAGCTCGACAACTCTGGGCAATCCTCTCTGTCTTATATACGGGGGCATGTTATAAATGAACGGTTTCGATAGTCGGACGGACTCCCAGAACAGATTATGTTCAAGAACCAAGGTACCACTGTATATATATTTAACACAACCTTCTTGTTCCTTGGGACGCGGGTGGTGCCGTGGGTTAAACCACAGAGCCTAGGACTTGCCGATCGGAAGGTTGGCGGTTCGAATCCCCGCGACGGGGTGAGCTCCCGTTGCTCGGTCCCTGCTCCTGCCAACCTAGCAGTTCGAAAGCACGTCAAAGTGCAAGTAGATAAATAGGTACCGCTCTGGCGGGAAGGTAAACGGTGTTTCCATGTGCTGCTCTGGTTCGCCAGAAGCTGCTTAGTCATGCTGGCCACATGACCCGGAAGCTGTACGCCGGCTCTCTCAGCCAATAAAGCGAGATGAGCGCCCCAACCCCAGAGTCGGTCACAACTGGACCTAATGGTCAGGGGTCCCTTTACCTTTTGTTCCGTGGAATGCAGTTTGAAAGCCAGCAATGGACAGTGTCCCTGTCCTCAACAACCACAGTGTCTGTTCTTCCTTCCTTCCTTCCCCTCACCCTTTGGTATCCCTACTCAGAAGTAGAAGCACCTTAGGTCATGAGGACCCCAGTGCCCTTGTACTCAGGCTCCTGTGGTCTTTCCCATAGAACATTGACGACGATGCCAACACTCATGACCGGGTGCTATGGGCCATCCACATCAGTGGCATGGATGATCTGCTCAAATTCTTGGCCAGCTCCCAGAGCGAGCAGCAATGGAGCCTGCACGTGCTTGAGATCATCTCACTTATGTTCCGGGACCAGGTAAGCAAGGGGAGGAGGACGAGGGTTGGGCAAGGCGGGCGAAAATCTGCAGGTGGCTGGTTGGGCTGTCCATTGGATACAGTCTCTGTGTTAGAAGTTGGCAGTGCTATTTTTCTAGAAAAAAAGGTGCTGGAGCTCACTATGAACGCCTCCCTTGTTCTCTTACACAGTCATACCTTGGAAGTCAAACGGAATCCGTTCCAGAAGTCTGTTCGACTTCCAAAACGTTCAGAAACCAAAGCGAGGCTTCAGATTGGCTGCAGGAAGCTCCTGCAGCCAATCAGAACCTCCGTCGGCCGCTCGGCTTCCAAAAGAATGTTTGAAAACCAGAACACTCACTTCCGGGTTTCGATCTTTCGGGAGCCGATTTGTTCTGGAGCCAAGGCGTTTGAGATACACAGTACAACTGTAATGGCAATGGCGCCCACCGGAGAGGTGCCGGAACTGAGTTTCTGGCTGAAGAAACGCTCTTGAAGTGGGAATGAAACCCCAGGAACTTAGTGGCATTCAAAACTTACATACTGTAGAAAGGGAAGAAGGAAGAGGGAGAGTTTGAATTGTGATACAAGACGAAAGGGGAGATGGCAATAGTTTTCACCTGTACTTGTGAGAGACATGTGGGGTGGGGTGTAATTGGGGCAGTTTTTGGTGGGTTGGGAAACAGCGGTTGCTAACAAAACTTAGTGAATAATATTTATTTATTTATACATACATACATACATACATACCCCACCCATCTGGCTGGGCTTCCCCAGCCACTCTGGGCGGCTTCCAACAAAATATTAAAATACAGTAATGCATCAAACAGTAAAACTTCCCTAAACAGGGCTGCCTTCAGATGTCTTCTAAAAGTCTGGTAGTTGTTGTTCTCTTTGACATCTGGTGGGAGGGCGTTCCACAGGGTGGGTGCCACTACCGAGAAGGCCCTCTGCCTGGTTCCCTGTAACTCGGCTTCTCGCAGTGAGGGAACCGCCAGAAGGCCCTCAGTGCTGAACCTCAGTGTCCAGGTACAACGATGGAGGTGGAGACGCTCCTTCAGATATATTGGACCGAGTATATCTGATACATAGGAACAGGACTTCCAGGTTTAGAGACAATATGCCTTCAGAAAACACATGTGAAGGGCAAGAACTGACTTTTCTTGAGCGTGGTCATTTTGTGAGTCTTTTCACCTGGTCACTGTTAGGTGAAGTGATGGGTGAGTTAGTTGACATTACCCAAGGATGAGGAGCCTGTGTTCCTTTAGAGCTCGCTGACCAAGCCAGCAGGGCCCAGTGGCCGGACATGTTGGGTGTTTCAGTCCATCAACATCTAAATGGCCACAGGTTAACCTTCCCCGGTCAAACCTAACACAGTTGTCCTTATGTTTAGCATTTTGTAAGCCTTCTCAAAGTTAGGAGGCACAGAAGACAGGCAGAAAGATTGCCTTGTCCTAGAGGCTACCTGCAGTGACAACTCTCTGCCTGGGATGGGCTTGGTATTCGGTGAGCCTAGCTTGGCTTGCAGGAAGTCACAGAAGTCCGTGTCCCCAACAGAACCCAGAGCAACTGGCAGGAACAGGGCAGGCCCGCTCAGCCAAGGAGCAGAGCGCAGACGCCGCTGAGTTGGAGCACCTGAGGCAGAAGGAACTGGCTGAGAAGAAGAGCCGGGTTCTCCAGCGGAGCAGCAGGTGAGGCAGTGTGGATTCGATTTAAATCAAATCGATTTAAATCACTCGTCAGTAAGACCTATGCTTCTAACACTTCTGATCCTTGATTCAAACTATGCTTGTTCCCCTGATATATGCATCTGCTTCTCCCTTTCTCCGCAGGCACTCTCGTTTCGGTGGCTGCTACGTCATTCAGGGCCTGAAGTCTTTTGGAGACAGAGACGTTGTGATGCATAAGGGACTACAGAATGTAAGTTGATGTGGGTGCAGGTGTGTGGGTGTGTGTGGTGGGGAGAGTCGTTGCCTGGCAGTGCTCAAAGTTGAAGGCCTCCCTTTGCTACTTTGGGTTGTGAAGTGTGTTAAGTATAGTAATTTAATTCGCAGACATTGTCAATGCTTGCATGCGTTAAAAGGTAAAGGTAAAGGGACCCCTGACCATTAGGTCCAGTCGTGGCCGACTGTGGGGTTGTGGCGCTCATCTCGCTGTATAGGCCGAGGGAGCTGGCGTACAGCTTCCGGGTCATGTGGCCAGCATGACTAAGCCGCTTCTGGCGAACCAGAGCAGCGCACGGAAATGCCGTTTCCCTTCACGCTGGAGCGGTACCTATTTATCTACTTGCACTTTGACGTGCTTTCGAACTGCTAGGTTGGCAGGAGCAGGGACCGAGCAACGGGAGCTCACCCCGTTGCGGGGATTCGAACCACCAACCTTCTGATCGGCAAGCCCTAGGCTCTGTGGTTTAACCCACAGTGCCACCCGTGTCCCTTGCATGCATTACTTTGTGTTTAAATTGGATTGGTTGGTAACCGAGTTCTAGAGAGTTCTGTAGGGGTTCTCATGTGATTGGCTATCGTTGGTCACATGGGAGGCATACAGTGAAGGAGAGACTCTGTCTAATGTGAGGCAGGATGGCTGTGTTTTAGAATCCAGAGTGAACACTGCTGGGTTGAATCGAGTGTCGGAGTGCTTCTTCTCCGCTTGGGAGAAAGAGAGCAAAGATGCAGGAGAAGGCAAAAGTGGGCAATCTCTCATAGGAGCTGCAAGGCATGGCCTAACTGAGATACAGAAGGCTGAGTGCTGAGCTCTGGAAAGAGAGGAAAATACAGTTGTTTAGAAGTTAGAAGAAGAGACCGTAAGCCCATGCTTGAGCAAGCACGCAACTTTAAATATTATGTTTTAATTCATCTATAACTTGAGATTCTGCAAGTACAGCTTTTGAATGTTAAAGTCTGGGCATTGGTTTAATTTCCAAAGAAGGGTGTCAGTCGTGGTTTGAGCTTCTTAGCTGCGTTTTCGCTACTCTTACTTCAACAACAAAGTGGGTAGCCCAGAAAGCCCCCCACTTGCCTACCCTTACAAGCCCCCTCAATTGCAGAGGAAGCTGCAGTTGTGGATTCTTCACCTTTACTCCTCCTCTGGTGCCCTTGCGTCCCTCAGGTGTGGAGAACCTGTGGCCCTCCAGCCGTCGCTGAACTACGCTTCCCCAGCAGCCCCAGCAAGCATGGCCAATGGCCAGTGATTATTGGAGTTGTAGTTCAACAACATACAGAAGTCCAGGGGTTCCCCACACATGGTGCGCACCTCCCTCGCATGCTTGCTAGAGCAAGTAGGACTTACAGGCAGGGCGAGAGTAGGAATGGGGCAGGAGAAATAATAATAATAATTTAATATTGATACCCCGCCCATCTGGCTGGGTCCCCCCAGCCACTCTGGGCAGCTTCCAACAAAACACTAAAATACAATAACCTATTAAACATTAAATGCTTCCCTAAACAGGGCTGCCTTTAGATGTCTTCTAAAAGTTTGGTAGTTATTTTTCTCTTGGTGGGAGGGCGTTCCACAGGGCGGGTGCCGCTAGCGAGAAGGCCCTCTGCCTGGTTCCCTGTAACTTGGCTTCTCTCAGCAAGGGAACCGCCAGAAGGCCCTCGGTGCTGGACCTCGGTGTTCGGGCAGAACGATGGAGGTGGAGACGCTCCTTCAGGTATACTGGACCGAGGCTGTTTAGGGCTTTCAAGGTCAGCTCCAACACTTTGAATTGTCCTTGGAAATGTACTGGGAGCCAATGTAGGTCTTTCAAGACCGGTGTTATATGGTCTCGGCGGCCGCTCCCAGTCACTAGTCTAGCTGCTGCATTCTGGATTAATTGTAGTTTCCGGGTCACCGCTGCAGCCATCACCACCTTCGTATCTTCTCCGCTCTCTCCTGTTCCCGGGCAGGTGAAGAACTACAGCCACGATCTGGCCAAGGAGGTACGGCGGGTGCCAAAGAGGCGCCAGCTTGCCCGCGATGGCGAGGGCGTCTCTCGCCGCTCAGCCCTCAACGTGCGGCTTTTCCTCAAGGAGTTCTGCGTGGAGTTTTTGGAGAACTGCTACAATCGCCTGATGTGTCTGGTCAAGGTGAGAGTGGTGTCCGTATCCTGCCAAGCGAGTTTGGGGATGGCAAATGGAGCATCCTGGAAAGGGGAATCGGAAGGGGAGGGATGTTGGTGGTGTTGGGCAGAGCTGCAGCAGCGCCTTCCCCGGGGATATCTGTTCCTTAACATAAAAGTGCCAACTCAGCCGGATCTGGCAAGACGTCATCCTTATTTCTGTTCTAGATCAGAACTTTGTATTTTAAGGATTTAATTTTAACTTTTGTCATTGGGCGGTAAGAGTTTAATCCAGTGACGTTGTTGCACAAACAGAACAGTTTTCCACTTGTGCAACAGACTTTCCCCCACCTCGAAAAAAATCTGCATCGGAGAGTTGGAGGAACTCCCAGAATGGATTGCCGGTTAATGACTTTGCTGGATACAACCCAGTATAAATATTGTAAAGAAAAACCGGTGCTGGTTGGTGTGATGGGTGACAAATGCCCTGGAAACACATGGAGATAAATAGGTCTCATAAAGACCTCCCTCCAGTCCTTTCTTATGGTGCAAAATAAGTAGAAATGTGCAAATGTTCATCTTTTATATAGAAGTTACCACCACTGTGCTCTGCATCTGAAATTTCTTGCTGTCCACTATGCACATACAGTGGTTCCTCGGGTTACATACGCTTCAGGTTACAGACTCCGCTAACCCAGAAATAGTGCTTCAGGTTAAGATCTTTGCTTCAGGATAAGAACAGAAATCGTGCTCCGGCAGCGGGAGGCCCCATTAACTAAAGTGTATGTAACCCGAGGTACCACTGTAATACGAACCCCCCAAAAAAGGAGCAGTAACAGAATCAGCTGCTTCCTCTTGACTTTCCTTTTCTCTGTTCTCCCCATCCTGCAGGATCACCTGATCAGGGAAAAGGCCCAGCAGCACGATGAGACCTACTACTTATGGGCCATGGCTTTTTTCATGGCCTTCAACCGGGCTTCATCTTTCCAACCTCAGCTGGTTTCTGAAACAGTTAGCGTTCGGACTTTCTACTTCATTGAGCAGAGCCTGACCAAATACTATGAGATGTTACTTATGGATAAGAAGGAGGCTACTTCTTGGTCTAGAAGGTAAGGGGGGGTTAGTCACCCTGTGGAATGGCCTCCTGGGTTCCCCCCTCTTGTTTTGGCTGTGCGACTGAGTGCTTTTGTCACTTGCCCTCTCATCCTGTCTTCCCCTGTCTCTCCAGGATGCATCTGGCTCTCAAAGCCTACCAGGAACTGCTAAAGACGGTGCACGAAATGGACCATTCGCAAGACGAAGCTTTGCGCAACAGCAGTCACATCATAAAGAGTGAGGATTTTTAGTTGTAGAAAACACAACCTCTTAGGACAGAGGTTTTCAACCTTTTGGAGTCCACGGCTCCCTTGACCAACTTCATTCTTTCTGCGGCACCCCTGTGGGGCTCAGGAGCCCAGTTGTGTCACCCCTTGCCTGCAGAGCCGGCAGCCCCTCACCCTTTTCGAAACACCTTCCCCTTGGGGAGTGCTCCCTCGGCCTCCTCTCTTCTCCCCTCTCCTTGGGAGCCCTCTGGGTTGCCGCCCCTGGTCTCTGAGCTGTCCTCCCTGCCCCAAAGAGAGATGCCTCCTCACACTGCCTCACAGGGGCCTGGGAAGCACCTCCTGGCCAGCCCCAGAGGCACCATTCGCCAGCAGAGCTTGTAGCCAGGGCTGTTGCAACCAACAGCTGTGCAAGCCTTTGGCAGGCAGAGATGCGAGAGGGCATCAGAGGAGGGAGGGAAGGGAAGAGGGACAGAGGCCAGTGTTGCCCGTGGCACCCCTGACCATCATTCAAGGCACTCCAGGGTGCCACAGCACACTGGTTGAAAACCACTGTCTTAGAACAATGTTCCGTCTGTGCTTAAGACCCAGTTCAGATTGAGAGGCAATGACTTGAGAGCTTTATGTGTTGGGCGGATGTGCTGTCTTAGGTAGCCTCAAGAGCACATAGAAGATAATGGAGAAGAAAGAAATGGTTGTCCGCTTGCTCTTGTTTTCAATTTATGAAAACATTTATACACGTCTTTTTAGAAATATTATCTTTAAGAAACAGCTAAGCCGCTGAAGATCTTGTTGGAAAGGCAATAGAAAACAAGCACCTAAAACAGAGACTTTTCCATACAGCTGGAAAAGCTTGTCAAAACAAAAATGTCTTCTGTTTCACGGAAGTACCGATAGTAGGCACTGGTCAGGGATACTGTTCCACAGAACAGGGACATATGCTCTGAATCCCTGCTCCGAGTTACTGAGGAGAGGGCTTTTGATATTTTTTGGACTTGGAAGGAGAAACTCCTTCAGGACACAGTGATCCTACTGGGTCTATAAGGCAATCTCAAGGAACCTGGTCGTGAGCTGTACACAGGTTGCCCGGCCCCCAAGTGGATTTAGCATGAAGTGTTTAGGATCCCATTCCTTCCGCTATTTTTTTTTCTTGTAGAGCAGGAAACGCTGGCTTGTGGGCACAAATAACACTAACAACATGACCACCTCTTTCTCCCAGACAACATTTTCTACTTGATGGAGTACCGCGAGCTGTTCCTCACCCTCTTCCGTAAGTTTGATGCCACAAAGCAGCCCAGGTCATTCCTGAAAGATCTGGTGGAGACCACTCACCTTTTCGTGAAGATGCTGGAGAGATTTTGCAAAGGGAGGAGCAGCCTAGTGGTCCAGGTATATTGGTGTCTGGGGACAAAGTCCTTTCCGTGCGGGGAAGCTGGCGGGTCCCAAGTAGGCCGCACTAGGCCTCTCCATTTCAGCCAAGCCACACAGACCTGCCCTTCCCTATATGTTATATAGGGTGTCAGGTGTGGGGATAGGTAAGGGTGGGGCTTTGGCAGTACCTGCGAAACCAAGCTGATCGTTGGCGTCTGTGAAGCGCTGCACACACTTTCTGGGCCCGAGAGGGTTGATTTTTTTATAATGTATTAAAGATTTTCTTAATTTACAAAGGTATGTGCAATGTCTCTCTCTCGTATTTTTTTTCCACGTAACCCTTTATTATTATTATTATTATTATTATTATTTACAAATCAGTTTCATTTGTTGAGACATTAGGAAGAATAGGGTGAAAGATGAGTGGGGGTGGGGTCGGGTGGCGATGTTTCTGTTTTACTTAAAATATGTGGGGTTTTGTGTCAGCGTTCTTTGTGCAGGTTCTCTGCTGTTCACTTGTGTTCCTTTGGTGGTGAGAGGTTGGGGTTGGCCTAGGGTGTGGCTGTTCATTTGTGGTTGGCTGTGGTGGTCTTTGTTTTCATGTGTGAGTGGGGTGGGTGGGTGTTTTGGATCAGCTTAGCCATATTGATTTGTATGCTGTTGGTGGATTTTTGTTGTTGTCTTTTTGGGCTGTGTATGTGATAAAGGGGAGCCATACCAGGGTGAAGGCATCGTCTTCTATTTGTCTCCGTGTCAGTTAATTATTAGTTAATTTTTCTAGTAAGGCGAGAGATTGATTTACAGTGGTACCTCAGGTTAAGTACTTAATTCGTTCCGGAGGTCCGTACTTAACCTGAAACTGTTCTTAACCTGAAGCACCACTTTAGCTAATGGGGCCTCCTGCTGCTGCCGCGCCGCCGGAGCACGATTTCTGTTCTCATCCTGAAGCACTATTTCTGGGTTAGCGGAGTCTGTAACCTGAAGCGTATGTAACCTGAAGCATATGTAACCTGAGGTACCACTGTAATCACTTTCCCTGGGTCGTGCTTGTGGACGAAGGGCTCTAGGATTGCTACACTTCCGTCAACAGCCCCTTTTCCTCAAAAGCTGGCTCAGAAACCAGGAAGCTGTTGGTTTGTTTGCTGCAGAGCAAGAAAATCAAGAGGAAGAAGAAGCCTGCTAGCTCGGCTGTGCAGCCCCGAGCGCCTGAGGAGCTGGAGAAGATGTGGCCGAGGCTGGCTGAGCAAATTGATAAATGCATCAAGGTAGGATAATGGGAAATAACCAGTCTTGACACAGCAGCTTGGGGGCTCCTGTATTTTGTTTTCTAGCTGTCTGGAAACAGAGAGTGGCGCTTTTGCAGCACTCTTGTTTGATCCAGTTCTAAAATGCACAAGGTTGGTTCTGAAGTCATAAAGGTAAAGGGACCCCTGACCATTAGGTCCATTCGTAGCCGACTCTGGGGTTGCGGCATTCATCTCGCTTTATTGGCCGAGGGAGCCGGCGTACAGCTTCCGGGTCATGTGGCCAGCATGACTAAGCCGCTTCTGGCGAGCCAGAGCAGCGCTCGGAAACGCCGTTTACCTTCCCACCGGAGTGGTACCTATTTATCTACTTGCACTTTGACGTGCTTTTGAACTGCTAGGTTGGCAGGAGCAGGGACCGAGCAACGGGAGCTCACCCCGTCACGGGGATTTGAACCGCCGACCTTCTGATCGGCAAGTCCTAGGCTCTGTGGTTTAACCCGCAGAGCCACCCGCGTCCCTAATATTTTGCAAAAGGAAGTAAATTGTCTGTGTTCCAGTTGGAAAATTCTATTTATTACATATTACATTTGTATCCAGCTTTTACTGCAAGAAGCTTAAGGTGGCATGCATGGTGCCCCACCCTTTTCAGCCAGTGTGGTGTAGTGGTCAAGAGCGGTAATCTCGTAATCTGGGGAACCGGGTTCACTTCCCCTCTCCTCCACATACAGCTGCTGGGTGACCTTGGGCCAGTCACACTTCTTTGAAGTCTCTCAGCCCCACTCACCTCACAGAGTGTTTGTTGTGGGGGAAGAAGGGAGAGGAGAATGTTAGCCGCTTTGAGACTCCTTAAAGGGAGTGAAAGGCGGGATATCAAGTCCAAACTCTTCTTCTTCTTCTTACCAACAACCCTGTGAGGTAGGTTGGGGGGAGAGAGAGGGTGACTGGCCCACGGTCGCCTTACACCACTCTGGCTCTGATAGTACTGCCTAGTGTAGTGATCATATTTTCTAGTTGTGTGAAGTCTGGGTATTGGTCTGTGAGTGTTCAGTTGCCAACAGAGGTTTGGTAACACTTGTTTTTCAGTTTTGCTTTTGCATCTTGCTGAAATCTTCTCAAGAGAGGTGTGAAAACTGATGATAGTAGTGCAATAGTGCACTGAAGTTTCTCAGCCATCATTTATGCAGTGCCTTCTGGAAGCCAGTAGGGGGTAGGGTTTCTAACTTTCCAAATGTTGAGCTGGTTTTGTAAGTCCTCTAGCCCTATTTTGAGATGGCGCCACAGCCTCCTTTCAGAAGATATGATAAAAAGCATGTGTTTGGAAATGCAGGCAGGCTTGCAATCTGGAAACGCGTTAAAATTAAAAATGTTCCTATCATTTGACGGGCAAAAGAATTCCACCCTGGAACAGAACTCTGCAGTGTGAGTGGCAGAAAAACCTTAGTGTGAATCTGCATTCAATCCTTCCTCTTTGAAATTTACTTACTTTATTAATCTTGCCCTTGTTCGGAATACATCTGGCATCTTTCTTTTTTTTTTCTTTTTAAAAAAAGTTTATTTATAAAGCTAAATTTTTCAGGTGTATACATTTCATTAATTTTACAATCATTTTAACATTTCAAAGCTTGACTTCCTTCCCCCTCTTTCTGCAGTTCCTTGAATTTATTCTTTAATATATTCTGCATATCCAAATTCATTTATTTTGCTCACTTAATTATCTACTTTAAATATATACTCTTACGAAAGTTATCTTGATTTATTATCCTTCCAGTTAGTTTTGCCATGTCTACATATTCCATAAGTTTTTGTATCCATTCTTCTGATGTCAAGACTTCTTCTTTCCATTTTGGGGCAAATAACTTTCTTGCCGCTGTAAGGTAAAGGTAAAGGTACCCCTGCCCGTGCGGGCCAGTCTTGACAGACTCTAGGGTTGTGCGCCCATCTCACTTAAGAGGCCGAGGGCCAGCGCTGTCCAGAGACACTTCCGGGTCACGTGGCCAGCGTGACAAAGCTGCATCTGGCGAGCCAGCGCAGCACACGGAAACGCCGTTTATCTTCCCGCCAGTAAGCGGTCCCTATTTATCTACTTGCACTTTGACGTGCTTTCGAACTGCTAGGTTGGCAGGCGCTGGGACCGAGCAACGGGAGCGCACCCCGCCGCGGGGATTCGAACCGCCGACCTTTCGATCGGCAAGCCCTAGGCGCTGAGGCTTTTACCCACAGCGCCACCCGCGTCCCCTCTTGCTGCTGTAGTTACGTACATAAATAAATTTCTGTACAATTTATGTCAGGGGTAGGCAAACTAAGGCCCAGGGGCCAGATGCGACCCACTCACCTTCTCAATCCCCCCCGTGAATGATCCAGGAATCAGCGTGTTTTCACATGAGTAGAAAGTGTCCTTTTATTTAAAATGCATCTCTGAGTTATTTGTGGAGCCTAGGAATTCGTTCATTATTTTTCTTCAAAATATAGTCCGGCCCACCATGTGGTCTGAAGGACGGTGGACCGGCCCTCTGCTGAAAAAGTTTGCTGACCCCTGATTTAGGTAGTTCTGTCCCTATAATTCCCAAAAGAAAAGCTTCTGGTTTTTTTTACAAAGGTTATTTTCCGGCATCTCTTTCTTGCTGTCAGGGTGCTGAGCCTCTCCCGGAGGACGTTGTCCCTTTCGATGCTGCATCGGAAATTCCACTGGAGGAGCAGCGAGCTGAGGCTATGGTACGGATCCAGGACAGTCTACTGGCTGGCCAGGCACCTGAAGCTCTGTCTCTTTTGCGTTCAGCAAGGTAAGGAAGTGGCTTCAAGGAATGTATCCGTGCCCTTAATAGTCTGTGAAGGACTATTGGTGAATCAGAGGAGCTAGAATCATCGAGTTGGGAGGGGCCCACAGGCCATCTGGTCCAACCCCTTGCAAATACAGGCATCTTGACTAAAGCATCCATGACAGGTGGCCATCCAACCATCTGCTTTAAAACCGTCAAGGAGGGAGAGTCCACCACCTCTCGTGGGAGTCTGTTCCACTGCCGAACAGCTCTTGGAATAATTCAAAACATCAAAACTAACAAACTGAAGTCTCTGAAAGTCCTTAAATGGATCACGGTGCCAGACTTTACCCGGCGGAGAGCAAGCTGTGAAGCTTTGTATAATCAGCCAATTAGTTCAACACTCGTAAGTAGAAAGATATACAGTAGATAGATATAATGAAAAATACTCTGGAACAGTGCTCATGTGATTATGTATTGAACAGTGACTACATAATCGCATAAGCACTGTTCCAGAGTGTTTTTCATTATATCTATTTGGAAAAAAGATTGGTTAATGAAGAAATTACATATCTTTCTACTCACAAGTGTTGAACTAATTGGCTGATGAAGAATTCAACGAAACAGTAGTTGTTACCCGGAAACACCGTTCAGCAGAGTTCAGAGTTGGACATCAGAATTGGACATTTGCTGATTATACAAAGCTTCACAGCTTGTAAAGTCCGCCGGGTAAAGTCTGGCACCGTGATTCATTTAAGGGCTTTCAGAGACTTCAGTTTGTTTGTTTTGAATTATTCCATAAAGTTTTTCACATTGTTATTGTTTCTGGCCATCGTATTGCTTTCGATATTGCTGACTCATATTTTGCAACACAGGGGTTTGTTTGTTTATGAACAGCTGCTCTTGCCCGAAAGTTTTTCCTGTATGTTTAGTTCGGAATCTCCTTTCTTGTAACTTGAAGCCATTGATTCGAGTCCTACCCTCCAGAGCAGGAGAAAACAAGCTTGCTCCCTCTTCCACGTGACAGCCCTTAAGGTAGTTGAATATGGTTATCTTGACACGCAAAGTTGACCATCTCTGTGTTGTAAGAAACCTGAAAAGTAAAGGAAGTGTTGGAAGCAGCTAGGTTTTCAGCTTCATTAAGTGGTCTTTTAGCAGCCCTGTTTAACAAATGAACATGTTTAGCAGAAGGGATCTTCCTCCAGAAATGTATGGCAAATGTAAACTTAGCAGTGTGTGTGGCCCTTTACTGGAATAACAAGAAGGCAGGTCTCTGTCCCAAGCAGCTTGCAATCTAAACGTTGACACGAGGGACTAAGAGGAGGAGGAGGAGATGATTATGGGTTGGGGAGGGGTGACATGGGCAAATGGGGGTTCCACCCTCCCAACTTTGAAAAGATTGTCAGCTTCACATAGGCCTGTTTTGTTCTTTAGACATTTATCTAAAATATTCTTAGGAATGTTATTTGGAAGGAAACATTTATGAACGTATTCATGGAGGCCAATTGGATGCATCTCTATTCACAGACATAGACGCAAGGCACACAAGTAGTGATGTTTGCTGGATTGTCACTCTTGTTCACAATTCTATAGTTGCTAAAGGGGTGTGTGGGCATGTGGACTTGGTTTTGACCTAGTTCTTGATGTTGGAGTGCAGGAAGTATCAACCCTACTGTATCCTAGCTGTTGCACACAGCTAATAACTCCCACTTTCCTTCTATTCTGTAAGGGAGGTGTGGCCAGAAGGAGATGTTTTTGGGTCGTCCTCCCTTGGCCCAGATGAAGAGACAGAGCTGCTGAGACAAATCTTCTTCGCCAGCCTGCCTCGTGAGTGTCCGTCCTCCATGAGTCAAGTAGAAAGGAACAGCAACAGGGCAGGAGGGAGGGCTGCTAAGGATTTTCCCCAGGGAAGTCCCGCCTTCCCTTACGGTGGATCCTCAAACGTCCTTACATTTGACACACCCCTCCAAATGCACGCAGGACAAACAGCAGCCGAGACAGATGAACCTGAGGAGGCAGCTGAAGAAGAGGAAGTCGCTGAGGAAGAGTTGGCATCTGTAAACGTGTCAGAAAAGGAATTCAATTTCCTGGATTACATGAAGAGGTAAACAGGGTGTTGTTTTTTGTAAGAGCTTTTCCCCCCCATCCTTCTGTGTGCCCAGGGCGTTTCAAATGCCTTGAGGCTGTTTCCTCTGGCATTCTTGTCCATGTCATTTTTTAACACCCTTTCCCCGCCCCCAATCCATCATAAGGGCTAGATACTTCACTTAACGAAAAGAAAGAGAGACTGAACTTTAGGAAGCCGAATCCTGTGCCCATTACCACATTTTGCACTTCTGTGGCGGTGCAGTGTGCAAGCAGCCCTGACTATAAATATCTCGCCCTGGTCTTTACGCTATGGTTACCAGATTTTTTTTAATGAATCTGGGGACCCCTTTTTTTGGGGGGGGGGGGAAGCTGAGTAGCAACAGGGAGTCAGTAGTGGGGGGTGGTGAGGCAAAAGACCCTAGGCCTAAACACGCATGCATATTGTATAAAGGTGCAAAGCCCTTCTTTCACACCCTGTGAAACAAAAATGCACAGAGTTTTTTTTAAAAAACTGGGCAATGGCTGCCCGCCCGCGGCTCCCGAGCCTCCCCCAATCTGTCAAAACAAAGGGGGAAGGGGGCAGGAGATCTGTACTGCCGGACATCCCCGGTTCCCCTTCGGCAGCGGCAGTCAGTCGGAGCCAACTGCGCTACCAGGCTGGCTCTGGGCTGCTGAGGCTGCCGCTGCCATGTTTCCCGGGGACAGATTTGCAAATCTAGGGACATTCCGGGGACAGAATTTGTCCGGGGACAGATTTGCAAATCCGGGGACTGTCCCCAGGAACTGGGGACGTCTGGTAACCCTACTTGACGCTGAGTGTGTTTAATATCTACACCCTGGTGTGCAGGTTTGCCAGTGCCAGTGTGGTCAAGGCCTATGTCCTGCTCTTCAAGAACTACCAGCAGAACAGCGCCCACACTAACCACTGCGTAGTGAAAATGTTGCACCGCATCGCCTGCGACCTCAAGATGGAGGCACTACTCTTCCAGCTTTCTGTCTTCTGCCTCTTCAACCGGCTGCTCAGTGACCCTGCTGCTGCAGCTTACAAGGTGAGGTTCACGTTAGCTGGGTTGCCCTGTGCATCATCAGAAATGTGAAGGCTACAATCCTAAATTCACCTGCTAAGGAGCAAGCCCCACTGAACACAGGGGGACTTTGTTCCCAGGTAAACGTGTGTGGACTGATCTGTGGACGGGGAAATTGCAAATTCAAATTGTGCCTATATCCACCCAGATGATTGTAGCAGTCTCCATCCTCTACCCACAAGAGGATGCCTTGTTGCAAGGTTGTTGTAAGAAATAATGAGAATATTGTTTGAATGTTTTAAGGCACCATGTGTATTCGATGCCTCCCTTTTGTTTTTCAACAGTACCTAGCCCTTTTATCTGCATGTCAGAAAGGGAGGGGCCTTTTTACATGATCTTTTGAGAATGTCATTTTGGATTAATGTTTGTTTCCTTGGCAATTTTCTGAGGAAGGAATCTGGCATGAGTCAGTTGCAAAAAAAAAAAGTTGCTTAAGTTTTATAAAGCGAGCTAAGAAGTCGAAAAAAGAAAAGACAATTCCCAAATCTGCAGATTGTTCTTTTCTGCCTGCTTGAATCTGACATGTATCCTGCCTCCTCCTATGTATGCAGTATTATTAAGAAAACCTAAAATACCTCCAGGACCGCCTCTCCTGGTATGTCCCAAGGAGGACCTTATGGTCTTCAAATAAAAACATCTTGGAGATCCCAGGCCACAGGGAGGTTAGGCTGGCCTCAACCAGAGCCAGGGCTTTTTCAGCCGTGGCCCCAATCTGGTGGAACGCCCTATCACAAGAGACTAGGGCCCTGCAGGACTTGACATCTTTCCACAGGGCCTGCAAGACGGAGCTGTTCCACCAGGCCTTTGGCCAAGGCACAGTCTGACCCCCTCCTTCTGTAATCCTCATAGATGGTTGCCATTAATCTGATTTGAATTGATTTTATAATGAAATTATTTTAGAATGTTGTATCATTTTAATGTTGTTAGCCGCCCTGAGCCCGGCTTCAGCTGGGGAGGGCGGGATGTAAATAAACTTTTATTATTATTTTATTGTTATTATTATTTAATCATGAAATATTCCCATAGCGCTGAGCAGCAGTGACTGCTGAGCCCTGAGACTTAAAATAAATAAATACTTCTCTCCAACCCTAGGAGCTGGTGACCTTTGCCAAATACATTGTGGGCAAGTTTTTTGCATTTGCAGCCAGCAACAAGAAGGCCTACGTGGAGCTGTTGTTCTGGAAAAGCACAGCCGTGATTCGGGAGATGACTGAAGGCTATGCTTTGGCAGAGGAAGATGAAACGTGAGCTCCTGGAATATTTTTCCAGTGACTTTTAAGTTTATGAAGGGGCATTTCCAGAAAGGAGTGGCCACTCTCTCAATATATTCCTTTTTTGTTTTGTGGGGATGGTGATTAACAAATATCTATGTGTATAAAGCAGACAATGGAACAGGAAAAAAACCTCATAGGTCAAAATTACAGTACGATGCAATATAAAACTATAAAAATCCTTCCCAAAGCAGTGGCGGCAGCACATTTTGAAGACATACAACAAGTGAGGGGCCTTTTTGCCTTTAAATTGAGGGGCAGAGGGAGGTAACACAGTATTCAAGGACTTCCATGCAGGGTTGCCACATCATGGCAATGACAGGAGAGTTTCCGGCGTCTTCTGCCCACTTTCCCTCACGTGCTTTTGGTGAGCAGACCTCCAGATGCGTGTGGGTATTCACACGTGAAACTGAACAATCCCAGGCTCACTTTTTAAATTAATACCAAGTCAGAAGAATTAAAGTTAAATCTCTTTTTATTGGGGCGGGTGGGAGCATAAAAGCACACTTCAACCCTTCCCATCTAAGTATTTATTCTCTCTCCTTCTCCAAACAGCTCTAACTCCCTCAAGGCTGTTCAGTGGACTGAGGAAGACGAGGAGGAGCTGAGGGAGCTTTTCTACAAGTACAAGGAAGTGGAAGGTACCAAATGACATGGATGTGTGTGTGGGGGGGACAGCATTGCAATCTAAATACAGTGGTACCTCTGGTTGTGAACGGGAACCCCAGTCGCAACCTGAAAGGAACGCAACCCGGTCTGCGCACGCGCGGGTCGCCATTCGCCACCTCTGCGTATGCGTGTGATGTCATTTTTTCGCGTCTGCGCAAGCGGCGAAACCCGGAAGTAACCCTTTCCAGTACTTCCGGGTTGCCGCGGGACGCAACCTGAAAAGATGTAACCTGAACCGAATGTACCAAGAGGTATGACTGTAGAGCAAGATTGAGACTCTCAATATAGGATGCCTGTATTTTATCCACTTGGATAATAGTAATAATAATTTATTATTTATACCCCGCCCATCTGGCTGGGCTTCCCCAGCCACTCTGGGCGGCTTCCAAAAAAATACTAAAATACTGTAATACATCAAATATTAAAAGCTTCCCTAAACAGGGCTGCCTTCAGATGTCTTCTAAAAGTCTGGTAGTTGTTGTTCTCTTTGACATCTGGTGGGAGGGTGTTCCACAGGGAGGGTGCCACTACCGAGAAGGTCCTCTGCTTGGTTCCCTGTAGCTTTGCCTCTCGCAGTGAGGGAACAGCCAAAAGGCCCTCAGTGCTGGACCTCAGTGGCAGAACAATGGGGGTGGAGACGCTCCTTCAGGTATACTGGGCTGAGGCCGTCTAGGGCTTTAAAGGTCAACACCAACACTTTGAATTGTGCTCGGAAACATACTGGGAGCCAATGTAGGTCTTTCAAGACCGGTGTTATGTGGTCTCGGCGGCCGCTCCCAGTCACCAGTCTAGCTGCCGCGTGCTGGATTAGTTGTAGTTTCCGGGTCACCTTCAAAGGTAGCCCCACGTAGATAGGGTTGAATGCTAAATTCTACCACAAAAAGGACTTCTGGACCCAAATTTGGGGGTGGGGGTGGGGAAGGCACTTTGAGCTGGCCCCATGTTGCTGTTTGGGATGAGTGGCAGGTCCTAAATCTGAAAAGGCTAATGAAGAATAGCGGCCCATGGCAAGTAAGAATTCCCCTTGAGCCAAACAGGCAGGGAAGCTTCTGCCAAAGCTACAGGTGTGAGCCGGCAGGTGAGCAAAATATGTAGGCCACTTCTTGATTGGGGAAAGGCTTTTGCTACTTTATTTTTCCTGCATGAGTGTGAAGAGCCTGATCTTCCTCCTCACCCAGCCACTAAGCCTCTCCCCTTTTCCCTTCTCCAACACCAGGTGAAGATATCCTTAACAACATCCTTGCACACCTGACCACTCGCAACTGGACGCGCAAGCAGGTGGCCAAGCGATTGGTGCGCTTGGGGCTTGCAAAGAGCCTGCGGGATTTCCCTCGGGAGAGGTAGGTCTTCGTTCAGAGGGCTTTGTCCTTCCTCTGATGGGCTGCCTCCGGGCTATGGCACTCGATAACAGTTGTAGGGAAAGAGTGTGGCTTGCCTCTTCAATAATAATAATAATAATAATAATAATAATAATAATAATTTTATTTATACCCCACCCTCCCCAGCCAGGGTGGCTAACACCAGTAAAATTACAGTAAAAACATAATGGGGGAGGGGACAATTTAAAATACAGGTTAAAATGCAATTTAAAATGCAGCCTCATTTTAAAAGTAGCCCATAGATCAAAACCATAAGGGGAGGGAAACATAAGGGTCAGACTGAGTCCAAACCAAAGGCCAGGCGGAACAGCTCTGTCTTGCAGGCCCTGCGGAAAGATGTCAAGTCCCGCAGGGCCCTAGGCTCTTGTGACAGAGCGTTCCACCAAGTCGGGGCCAGTACTGAAAAGGCCCTGGCCCTAGTTGAGACCAATCTAACCACCTTGCGACTTGGCACCTCCAAAGTGTTTTCATTTGTGGACCTTAAGGTCCTCCACGGGGCATACCAGGAGAGGCGGTCCCATAGGTATGTGGGTCCTAGGCTGCATAGGGCTTTAAAGGTCAGAACCAGCACCTTAAACCTGACTCTCTCTCGCTTTCCAGAATTCCTAGTGGATTCTGGTTGTAGGTGCAGAATTTTAAGCCCTTGTACACAAAAATCGTGATTTTTTTTTTAAAAAAGAGCAAATACTGATTTTCCATTTAGTTATTAGGCAGCATGCAAAGGCTGCCTGTGGAAGCCTCTAAAAAAGCTGCTGTGCCCTTTTAAGTGCCAGGTTTTATTTTGCAAGATAATCATACGCTTGAACATTTAGGTAATCTCTTTTAGGGTATGCAGTCTGAATGTCCTTCACTCACGTTTTAAGCGAATCAAATCGGGGGCATCCCATGGAGTTGTTCCTATCCTAAATATTTGTATCTGCATATCAGAATTGTCCTTCCCGATAATGCAAATTTTATGGTGAAAATGTACTGTATTTTGTGACGTGTGTAAAGCATCAAAGAAACACCTTTGTGCTGAATCTGCATGTTTTTGCGTTGGTTCAGCTAGTCATAGGGAGGGGCAAAAATCTCGTAAGGTCTTTTTTATTATTCAATAATATTAAATAGACATAAAGTAAAGTGACATTTAAAAATAAAAGTGGTTCTGAAAATTCACCAGATTATAAGACGACATTCGTTTTCCAGTAATATAATCTCTAATGAAAACAGCTGCATATCCAGAGAATTTACAGAGTTAAAAGTAATTGATAGCTAATTTCAAATAAAGCAAACGAACGTTAAAAATCACTAAAACAATTTTTATACGCGTAATTTTAATATCACTTCCAATACTACTTTTTCAGTACAGTCGTACCTTGGAAGTCGAATGAAATCCATTCCAGAAATCTGTTCGACTTCCAAAACATTTGAAAACCGAAGCGCAGCTTCTGACGTTCGGCTTCCAAAAATAGTTCACAAACCGGAACACTCACTTCTGGATTTGCGACTTTCGGGAGCCAAAACATTCGGGAACTAAGCTGTTTTATATTATATATTGAACTTCATGATCTGCAGCTTTATCTACATTTATATATACAGTGGTACCTCGGGTTAAGAACTTGATTCATTCCGGAGGTCTGTTCTTAACCTGAAACTGTTCTTAACCTGCGGTACCACTTTAGCTGATGGGGCCTCCCACTGCTGCCGCACCTCCGGAGCACGATTTCTGTTCTCATCCTGAAGCAAAGTTCTTAACCTGAAGCACTATTTCTGGGTTAGTGGAGTCTGTCACCTGAAGCATCTGTAACCTGAAGTGTCTGTAACCCGAGGTACCACCGTACCGTATTTTTCCATCTATAAGACGCCCCCATGTATAAGACACCCCCTATTTTGGGGGACTCAGATTTAAGAAAATCCACCCTCGGCACTATCTGTGTATAAAACGCCCCCTAATTTTGGACATTATTTTTTAGGGGGGGAAACCTAGTCTTATACACGGAAAAATACGGTATATAAATAAAATCTTGTGCGATGCAACTTTACAGAATTTGCACAGCCCTGCCCTTCTCCCTCGTGTAATTCAGTCCATGCAGGCTTCTTACTGGAGAACCTTGTCCTTTTTCTTTCTTACTCTCCTTGCTGCACCTTATAGTTTCACCCCCATTTCCTTGCTTGCTGGGAAATGTTGAGGCGTGGCAGGGAGCGCCATAGTTGCTATTGAACGCTTTCTTCGACAGGAAGGGGACGCGCATTGTATTGTGGACAGAGGATCAGGAGCTGGAACTTCAACGCCTCTTTGAGGAGTTCCGGGACACAGATGGTGAGGGTCTGCGTGGTTGGAGGGTCCTGAGTTTGCAACCACAAAAGGGATGCCTGCTCTTGTAGAGGGGGCGGAGCTTAATACCTTCTAAGCCAGGGGTGAGGGACCCTGTGCTTTCCCATATTTTGTTGGACTGCAACTCCTGTCAGCCCCAGCCAGCAAGGCCACTGACGATGGGAATTCTTCCCTCCTTAAAGCCACACTCACAGACTTCTTTGGTGCCGAGTTTGCTCCAGTGCCGGGGTTATTTTTCCAGCAAACCTCCAATAACCAGGGTTATTAACCCCCTTCACCCACCTCTGCTTTCCCCCCATCCCTCCCCAGCTCCAGGATAATATTATGTCCAACACTTAAACCAGAACTTTCCAAACGGTGTGTCGTGACACATTAGTATATCGGCCTGCAGCGTGTCACACGATACGTGTCTGTTAGTTAGGGGTTTGTTTAACCTCTGGTTTGCTAGTAAAACAGAATTACGGTGTCGCGAAATGATGCATATGTAAAAAGTGTGTCATCAACGTGAAAAGTTTGGGAAGCTCTGACTTAAGCAGTAATATATGTACATTTAAGGGACGCAGGTGGCGCTGTGGTCTAAACCTCTGAGCCTCTTGGGCTTGCAATCAGAAGGTTGGCGGTTCGAATCCCTGCAACGGAGCGAGCTCCCGTTACTCAGTCCCAGCTCCTGCCAACCTAGCAGTTCGAAAGCACACCAAAAAGTGCAAGTAGATAAATAGGTACTGCTCTGGCGGGAAGGTAAACGGCGTTTCCGTGTGATGCTCTGGTTTCGTTGTTCTGTTGTGCCAGAAGCGACTTAATCATGCTGGCCATATGACCCGGAAAAACTGTCTGCGGCCTGTAAAGCGAGATGAGTGCTGCAACCCCAGAGTCGTCTGCGACTGGACTTAACTGTCAGGGGTCCTTGTCCTTTACCTTTTTATATATACTTTTGGCCTTTCACGTATGGGGGTATTAACAGAGGTGACGCCAGAATGGTCTCTGAGAAGAACGATGCGCTTGGCATCCTCATAGCCGTGTTCTGTGGGGACACAAAGAAGTGAGGGAGAACCATTCCTTCTTGGGAGCGAGTGTAGAGTGAGTCCTTCCTTGGTTTCTCCCTCTCTGCAGATATCCTGGCCAATGTGATGAGGCATATCACCGCTAAGCGTTCCAAGGCCCGCGTTATCGAAAAGCTGCTCAGCATGGGGCTGGTGTCCGACCGAAAGGAGCTCTACAAGAAACGCAGGCGCAAGCCTGGCTCCCTTGCTGCGGTATGGCACCTGCTTTCTGTTCTGTTCGTTCTTTTCTCCTGCACGCAGGCGAGTGAATGTGCATGGTTACCTCGGTATCATTGGACAGGTCTTTTTTATTATTTTTATTTTATTGAATTTATTGAATTTAAAGCCCTAAACGGCCTCGGCCCAGTATACCTGAAGGAGCGTCTCCACCCCCATCGTTCTGCCCGGACACTGAGGTCCAGCTCCGAGGGCCTTCTGGCGGTTCCCTCACTGTGAGAAGCCAAGTTACTGGGAACCAGGCAGAGGGCCTTCTCGGTAGTGGCACCCGCCCTGTGGAATCCCCTCCCAGCAGATGTCAAAGAGATAAACAACTATCTGACATTCAGAAGACATCTTAAGGCAGCCCTCTTCAGGGAAGTTTTTAATGTGTAACATCTTAGTGTATTTTTGGTCTTTGTGGAAGCCGCCCAGAGTGGCTGGGGAAACCCAGCCAGATGGGTGGGGTACAAATAAATTATTTTAATATTATTATTATTATTATTATTATTATTATTATTATACTGCGCTATACAGTGGAACCTCTACTCACGTACGGAATCTGTTCCAGAGGTCCGTTCATGAGTCGATCGGGATCGCTGGTAGAAGCGCCGTTCTGTGCGTGCGCATTCGGCAGCGGTGCCGTTCTGTGCGTGCGCAGATGGCAGAAGCCACTTCTGCGCGTGTGTGAATCGTGGCAAACCCGGTATTTACTTCCGGGTTTGCCGCGGCCGCGAATCAAATTGTTCGCTAGTAGGGGCGGTGGTAAGTCAAGGTGCTACTGTACCTGGGGGTCTCAGGGCAATTCACAGAATAAAATCGAAATGTAAACCTGCAGAATACATAATAAAAATAAAAACAACAACCCAGTAGCCCCCCCCCAAAAAAAACATTTTAAAAGGGCATAGGATGTAAATCAACCAAAGGCCTGGTTAAAAAGGAATGCTTTTGCCTGGCGCCTAAAGGTGTATAATGAAGGCGCCAGGCGAACTTCCCTGGGGAGAGCATTCCACAGATGGGGAGCCACTGCAGAGAAGGCCCTGTTCTCGTGTTGCCTCCCTCTGGACCTCTTGAGGAGGAGGCACACAAAGAAGGGCCTCAGAAGATGATCTCAGGGTCTGGGTAGGTTCACATGGAAAGAGGCGGTCCTTCAGGTATTGCGGTCCTGAGCCGTTAAACCAGCCGTCCTGGGCTGGTTGGCTCCCTTTTCTCCTCCAGCGACTTCAAGACGGGCCTTGCTGGGATTGTTACCTTTGGGTTTACCTGTGGGTAATGGTTTGATTTTTTTTCCTGCATAGCCTTTGTGTTTTGTTGGAGGAGGAAGATGCCTCTTGTTAACTATGACCCCCGTAGCGAGCTGTCTTCTTTTCCCTTTCAGAACAAAGACATGTTCCCTAAGGACTTCGCAATACCTGACCTGGATGAGGCTGAGGAAGATGATGAAGAGGAGGAGGAAGAAGAAGAGGAAGATGACTTGGATAGCGAGGAAGAGGGGGAGTCAGCCTGGAAGGATGGTGGCCATGACGCTGGGAACAGGCCATTGGGTGGGCAGCCTAACAAGAAGGGTGGAACTGCCTCAGATAGAGACCGCCAGGAGCTTGTGCGATGCCTGAGGCAGGAAGGTGAGAGCTTGGTGGCAAGAGAAGGAATTGCAGCTCACGGCGGCATGGTGGTTTGGGGGGCAGGCAATATAATAATAATAATAAATAAATAAATAAATAAATAATTTATTATTTATATCCCACCCATTTGGCTGGGTTTCCCCAGCCACTCTGAGCGGCTCCCAACAGGATATTAAAAACACGATAAACAAACATTAAAAACTTCCTTGAACAAGGCTGCCTTCAGATGTCTTCTAAAAGTCAGATAGTTGTCTGTTTCCTTGACATCTGATGGGAGGGTGCCACCACCAAGAAGGCCCTCTGCCTGGTACCCTATAACTTCACTTCTGGCAGTGAGGGAAACTCCAGGAGGCCCTCGGAGCTGGACCTTCGTGTCTGGGCTGAGCAATGGGGGTGGAGACGCTCCTTCAGGTATACTGGGCCGAGGCCATTTAGAGCTTTAAAGGTCAGCACCAAGACTTTGAATTGTGCTCAGAAACATACTCCTCCCTCCCTTGACAACTGGTCTGCTGGGAAACCCTCAAAATGTCTGGTGCAAAACCTCCAGGAAGTTCTTGGGAGCATGCACAGTTCAGGAGGTTCCTGGCCTAATAAGTTCTCTGGCCTAAACCAGAGAGAGGAGCTGGGGGGGTGGGAGGGTCGGTTTTTATTTTTGGGGAGAGGAAAAATGGGGGGAGGAGGAGGAGGATGTATTTTTGATAAATTGTTATGTTGAAATCCCTAATAAAAAATATTTAAAAAAAAAAAAAAGGAATTTCCTGGCCTGGCCTCTTAGGCATTTGTCATCAAACTTCATGACTTTGGTGAACCTTTGTAGATGCCCATTGCTCCCCTGTGGCCACGTTGGAAAGCTGCAAGAGGCTTCCAAGGAATTTTAGGATTGCCCGGAAGACCTTTCTGAATGTTACCTAGATTTGGGGATCAGCTTTGGGGCAATCTTTGGAGTGTGGCGAGAGCAAGAACGCTGATTTGGTGTAGTGGTTAAGAGTGCCGGATTAGGACCCGGGAGGGCAGGGTTCAAACCCCCACTTGGCCATAGCTCACCGGGTGGCCCTGGCCCAGCCACTGACTCTTAGCCTAAAACCTACCTTGCAGGGGTGTTTTGGGGATTGAGTGAGGAGGTGGAGAAAAAGGTGGGATATAAACAAAATGAGTAATGAAGTACAGCGGTACCTCGGGTTAAGTACTTAATTCGTTCTGGAGGTTTGTTCTTTACCTGAAACTGTTCTTAACCTGAAGCACCACTTTTAGCTAATGGGGGCCTCCTGCTGCCGCCGCGCCGCCACTGCAAGATTTCTGTTCTCATCCTGAAGCAAAGTTCTTAACCCAAGGTAATATTTCTGGGTTAGTCTGTAACCTGAAGCGTATGTAACCTGAAGTGTATGTAACCCGAGGTACCACTGTAGTTTTTACGGTTATATCAAAAATTACGACACCCATCATCCCTAGCTTAGCAGGACCAGTGGTCAGGGATGATGGGAACTGTAGTCCAAAAACAGCCAGAGGCGTAATATTTACAACCAGATGAAAGTTTCAATTTTGGAGTAATAAATTTTCAGAGTACAGTGGTACCTTGGGTTACGTACTCAATTCGTTCCGGAGGTCCGTTCTTAACCTGAAACTGTTCTTAACCTGAAGCACCACTTTAGCTAATGGGGCCTCCCGCTGCTGCTGTGCCGCCACTGCACGATTTCTGTTCTCATCCTGAAGCAAAGTTCTTAACCTGAGGTAATATTTCTGGGTTAGCAGAGTCTGTAACCTGAAGTGTATGTAATCCGAGGTACCGCTGTACCTTCTCCCCATGCTTCTCTGTTTACCCACACAGTATTTGGGCCTAGGATGGCAGAATGGACCACCTCGCCTTTTTCACACTTATCAGAGAAGGCCTGGTCTACCCAATAACACTGTGCCTTTCCTAAAGTTATCGAGAGAAGGAGCCCCTTCATCTTTCCACTCACTTTTGTCTTTGTAGGTCTGTCTGGCCCTCTGCTATGGCTCCAGAACTGCCTGAACCGGACAGCTTCTGACCGAGAAGAGGATGGTAAATACAGGGAGAATGTTGCAGATTCCTGTTTCTTGCGGGGGGAGGCTGAGGAAGAGATTTAATATTTCCCTTCTGCTGCTCTCAGCCTCCTCTGGAGGAACCATGTGTGGGCCAGCTAGCTATATGTCACCTTCCCTCTGAACTTTATTTAAGCCAGGCTCCTTGAGGTACAGCAAGACCATAAACTTTTATAGTTGGTTAACTTTCATCTTACTTTGTACTTCTGTACTTAACCTAGGTGATTTATTTATTTTGTAATACTGAATTTATTCTGCGTTTGTGAAGCTGTTGATTTGTCATTTTATTTTGCTAACATGCCCTGTATTTTGCATATTATGTTTTCTCCTATGCTCTGCGTTTTAATGTTTCCGTAGAGTTGGAAGGGGACCTCAAGGGTCATCTAGTCCAACCCCCTGCCATGCAGGAATCTTTTGCCCAATGTGGGGTTTGAACCCACGACCCTGAAATTAACTTTGTCTCGTGCCCTACTGACGGAGCTCTCACTTCAGTCCAAGCTGCTTTGGGCACACCTCATTGTGAGAAAACAGCATATAAACTCGAATCAATCTGTGTTGTCTAATAAGGAAGACAAAGGCTCAAGAGCCAAATATCCACCAGGGTGTTGTAGACAAGAATATTATACTGCTCTTTCCCATATGGCTCTAGAATTAAGCTTGATAGATTCCTGTTTCGCCAGGATGTGCCCAGCCAGTGCCTTTGGTGCCACTGTCTGAAGAGAATGAGGATGCCATGGAACACAAGCGCTTCCAGAAGCTTCTGCGTAAAGTAGGGATTCGAGCCCCAGCCAGTGAACAGGTAATTGTTTTGCTAGAGGATATCAAGGTAAAGGGGGACGCGGGTGGCGCTGTGGGTTAAACCACAGAGCCTAGGGCTTGCCGATCAGAAGGTCGGCGGTTCTAATCCACGCGACGGGGTGAGCTCCAGTTGTTCGGTCCCTGCTCCTGCCAACCTAGCAGTTCGAAAGCACGTCAACATGCAAGTAGATAAATAGGTACCGCTCCGGCAGGAAGGTAAATGGTGTTTCCGTGCACTGCTCTGGTTTGCCAGAAGCTGCTTAGTCATGCTGGCCACATGACCGGAAGCTGTACGCCGGCTCTCTCAGCCAATAAAGCGAGATGAGCGCCGCAACCCCAGAGTCGGTCATGACTGGACCTAATGGTCAGGGGTCCCTTTACCTTTACCTTTATAAAGGTAAAGGACCCCTGGACGGTTAAGTCTTGTCAGAGGCGACTATAGGGTTGTGCCGCTCATATCGCTTTCAGGCCGAGGAAACTGGCATTTGTTCACAGACAGCTTTCCGGGTCATGTGGCCAGCATGACTAAACCACTTCTGGCGCAATGGGACACAGTGATGGAAACCAGAGTGAACGGAAACACCGTTTACCTTCCCGCCACAGCAGTAGCTATTTATCTGGTGTTCTTTTGAACTGCTAGGTTGGCAGGAGCTGGGACAGTGGGAGCTCACTCTCATCATAGGGATTCAAACCGCCGACCTTCTGATCGGCAAGCCCAAGAGGCTCAGTGGTTTAGACCACAGCGCCACCTGCATCCCATAGAGGATATGGAAGGAGAATGGGTTTGTGAGTGTAAAACATTTTTTAAAGAACAGGCCTTTTTTGTAATACAAACTTAAGTTTACAAACTTAATCCGTTCCGGAAGTCTGTTCTTAAACCAAAGAGTTCTTAAACCAAGGGGTGCTTTCCCGTAGCAGCGGGGGACTCAGTTTACAAATGGAACACACTCAACAGGAAGCGGAACATGTTCTGCTTCCAAGGCAAAGTTCACAAACCAAAACACCTACTTCCGGGTTTGCAGCGTTCTTAATCCAAGTTGTTCATAAACTAAGCTGTTCTTAAACCAAGGTACCACTGTGTTGTATTTATTGTGTTTTGGAAGGGCAACTTTAATAATTCATTGAGAAAGACTATTTCATCATCATCATCATAAATTTATTATTTATACCCCACCCATCTGGCTGGGTTTCCCCAGCCACTCTGGGCGGCTTCCAACAAAAGATTAAAAATCCATTAAAACATCAGTCATTAAAACCTGCCTTAAAGAGGGCTGCCAGATATGTTCCTCCTTTCCCTGCTTTAACTGAAGCTGGGTTTCTGTGAGATTAGCTATTTCCTGCTTAGAATAAGACAGCCGAGTGTCGCTCCTAGGTTAAAGTGACCCAGAAGAACTTGGAACGCATCCAAGATCCTAAGTTAACACAAGTTAAAAAGTATGAGCTCCAGGAATGTTTGGTACAGTCCCACACCAAAAAAACCCTCTATTTAACCCTGTTCATCATTTGTGGTTTTTCCTGCTTTGTATGTACATTTTTGGAGATGACTGAGGACAAAATGTTGAAAGAAGTGGGAGAAATATAAATATATATTCAGGAAAGATGAGCAAAAGCATTCCCAAATGCTCCTAAACAAAGATGGAAGTGCTTCAGTCTCATCAGCCACAGTTATGTGTTAAGTTTGTGGCTTTGGTGGAACAGCAGCTTGTATTCCTCTACTGGCTCTCGCTTTGCCTGCAGAAATATTCCAGCATTTGTGCTCTGTTGCAACGTTAAACATTCAGTTGGCTCTTTGTAATCTTGCCTTTCATACAATCATAGAAGATAAGATAATTATTAATGTGGTCCTCCCCCCATTTATTTCGTAAAGGTTTGCCTTTCTATCTTGGTATCTGTCCTTTCTCCTTTTTTGACTATGTCGAAGTGTTTTGTCCCAGTGATTTATGACCAGAGCAAGTTTGGATTATGTCCTTCTGTTTGCCCAAGGCCTTCTTGCGAAACAGAATTTCCCCTTCCTCTCTCCTCCCTGCATAGTGTCGCCTCCACACATTGCATCTTCTTTGGAGCCGGTAGATGAACCCCTAGAACAGATTTTTTTGGGGGGGTGGGGGGGAGTCACACATGAAGAGGACAAGTTCCATTGCACAAGTGGAACTCCTTGCACAGATGAAACGACTTCGTTGCATACAACCCTTTGGTTTAAAACCAGGCGCAGCAATCCTTGAGCTCTGCTGCTATTGCGACTAATTTGAGGGCAATCCCCTCCATTTAGCTCTGCTGGGAACAAGAAGCTTGCAAGAGGGGGCCAACAGCAGAAGCAAACAGGAGCTAGCATCATGTATTTACCGTATTTTTCGCTCCATAGGGCGCACCGGACCATAGGGCGCACCTAGTTTTTAGAGGGGGAAGTCAAGAAAAAAAATCTTACTCTCCCCCCGCCCCAAAGAGCAGCGTACAGGCTGCGCGCAACCTCTCCCTGCCGGAGGGGTTACGCGCAGCTATGGCACAAGCCAAGACAGCGAGTGGGATCCATGGCTTGTGTCATAGCCGTGCGCAACCGCTCCAGCAGGGAGAGGCTGCGCGGGACTAAAGAAGCCATAGCCACGTGCAGCCTCTCCGTGCTGGAGGGGCTGCGCGCGGCTATTCCTGAAGCCTTCGGAGCGCAGTGCGAGTTCCCGCTGCGCTCCTCAGGCTTCGGGTTCCTTTTGCTGAAGCCGGGAGAGCAAGACTCTCCTGGCTTCAGCGACAGGAACCTGAAGCCTCCAGAATGCAGCGGGAACTCACGCTGCGCTCCGAAGGCTTCAGGGGGCTATCCCTGAAGCCTGGAGAGCGAGAGGAGTCGCTGCCCACCGACGCCTCTCGCTCTCCAGGCTTCAGTGAAAGCAAGGCGAAGCCTCCGGAGCACAGAGGGAGCGTTCCCTCTGCGCTTCAGAGGCTTCGCCTTGCTATCACTGAAGGCAAGGAGCCTGCATTCGCTCCATAGGACGCACACACATTTCCCCTTCATTTTTGAAGGGGAAAAAGTGCGTCCTATAGAGTGAAAAATACAGTACCTTCTTTACTTCCTACAGGAATCTTTCTGGCGCATCCCAGCCAAGGTCAGCCCAGAGCAACTACGGCAAGCAGCTGCTTCCATTGCCTCTAAAGAAGTGGAGACCAAAGAGGAGACCAAAGAGCAAGAAGCCGGTAGGTGTATGGAAGGGGAAACACACTGAAACAACCCTGCTTGTTTCACTTCCCTCAGAACCTCCATTGTTCGTCATCTGTAGAGCTGAACCTGCCTCCTTAGAATTTCAGAATGTGTTTGTGAGCAGTCCATGACATCACAGAAGCTCAGCCAATGCACAAGCAGAGACTGAAAGCAGTTCTAGCGTGTGTATATATATAGAAACATTCTATTGATTTAGAGTCTCTTCTTGTTGTACATGCACACTCTGTGTGCTGTTGTAAAATGAGGGCGTATTTGTGCACTAGTTTTCTTCCTCCTCTTGGCAGTTGTCCATATAACATGGAAATGGTTTCACATGCTACTTTCCTGCGTTTAGGTGTCTTAAAAACACCCAAGTACAAATAAAGGACAGACACTAAAAGCATCAGCACTAATGCCTAAGCTCAGCCCTCACTGATTACACAACTCAGTCTAGAATAACTTCCTCAAACTGGTGGTTAATCTGTAACCCGTTTTAGCATCCTAGTTCATACTGACATTATTGAACCCAAAAGCGTTAAACTGGATGGGCATGCTCTGAAATGCTTACACAGGGTTCTCCCCCTCTTCAAGTTTAAGTTTCGTTTCTTAAAAAACATGTGAATTTGTGGAATTGGTTGCTGCCTTCTCATATTGTTGCGTTTCTCTGGGTGGGGAAAGATTCTGTCAGTCCTGGCAGAATCAGGGAGACATGGAATAAGCCCCGACTGAATGGTTTCCAGCATCTGTAATCAGGGCAATATGTTTTTCAGGCCTAACCAGCCTTTGACCCCTTGAGCAAGGCATAGCCCAACTAGCATAGTAAGCTTCCAGGGGCTTGATGAACCTCCTGCTTTTATACTCTCCTGGTATGCCCCACAGAGGACCTTAAGGTCAATGAATAATCATAGTTTAGGGGTCCCGGGCCCTAAGGAAGTCAGATTATCCTGGGCCAGGGCCTTCTCAGTGATGGCTCCGACCTGGTGGAATGCTCTGTCCCATGAGACCAGGGCCCTGCAGGATTTTACTTCCTTCCGCAGGGCCTGTAAGACAGAGCTATTCCACCTGGCTTTCAATTTGAACTTAGCCTGATCTTTCCTTCCCTCCCTCTCCCCTTTTTTTTAAGATTACCCGCTCCGGGATCCCACAGCTAATTCTCCCCTGGTCTCCTCGCTGGCCCAAATAGGACTAATTTAGCCAGCTAGCCCTGGTGATCATCTAATGTTTATTGGATGGATTTCCCCCCTAAATCGATTTTTGAATTATGAATTTATTGTTATTCATGTTTTATACTATATGCTGTTTTTTGTTGCATCAATTAAGTGTTTTAAATTTGTTGTTAGCTGCCCTGAACCCGGTTTTTTGAACCAGGGAGGGCAGGATATAAATAAAAATTCATTATTTTTTATTATTATACCTGGCTGGGACAAGGGAGCACCTGGCAAGCCATAAAGCAGGCATGTCCAAAGTCTGTGTTGATTTAATCTGACCCCCGTGGCAGTATATAAAGGTAAAGGGACCCCTGACCATTAGGTCCAGTCGTGACGGACTCTAGGGTTGCGGCGCTCATCTCGCTTTATTGGCCGAGGGAGCCGGCGTACAGCTTCTGGGTCATGTGGCCAGCATAACTAAGCCGCTTCTGGCGAACCAGAGCAGTGCACGGAAACACCATTTACCTTCCCGCCGGAGTGGTACCTATTTATCTACTTGCACGTTGATGTGCTTTCGAACTGCTAGGTTGGCAGGAGCAGGGACTGAGCAACGGGAGCTCACCCCGTCGCAGGGATTCGAACCGCCGACCTTCTGATCGGCAAGTCCTAGGCTCTGTGGTTTAACCCACAGCGCCACCCACGTCCCTCTCCAGGAGATGTACATAGTGTAATAAAAGCTGCAAAGATATAATAATAATAATGCAAAGTTGACATCCATATCAGAGACCTTACTCATTCGGTTGGGAAGACTTCTCAGAACAAAAATGTCTTCAGCTGCTTCTGGAGCGTCCAGGTAGTGAACACCAGTTGCATCTCTACAGGAATGCTGGTTGCAATGAAAGTCCCACTCTTGAGTTACTATAGAGAGGGCTTCTGAAATCCTTGGAACTTGTAGAAGAAATTCTTCCTTCAGGAGGCAGTGACCTACAGGGGTTACAAAAGGGACATCTCCAGTAACTTGCCCCTGAGCTGTATTAGGTGAATACAGCCATGGGCCCAAAATTCTATAGACGTTGCTATGCCTGAGATGTTCAGTAATTCATTATAATTATAATAGCCTGTGCTGCAGTTGGGTGTTTGGGAGACCAGCTGTTCTGGAAAGTTCTAGCACCTTCCTTGGAGATCTATTACTCAAATTAAGTTTGTCGGGAACTTTCAACTGCAATTCAGTAACTACCGTATTTTTTGCTCTATAAGACTCACTTTTTCCCTCCTAAAAAGTAAGAGGAAATGTGTGTGCGTCTTATGGAGCAAATGCAGGCTGTGCAGCTATCCCAGAAGCCAGAACAGCAAGAGGGATCGCTACTTTTGCTGTGCAGCGATCCCTCTTGCTGTTCTGGCTTCTGAGATTCAAAATATTTTTTTTCTTGTTTTCCTCCTCCAAAAACTAGGTGCGTCTTATGGTCTGGTGCGTCTTATAGAGCGAAAAATACGGTAGTTTGCCTCGCCACCAGACTGCCACCTCCCTTTGCAGAGCTGGCTTTGTCTTTCCAGCTCTCACACTTTCTTTCTTGTCGGTTTCAGCGGAGGAGCATCTCGAGACAGAGGAGCCAAGATGCCTGACTGCGGAAAAGTAAGGACTGTGGGGGCACCGGGGTGTGGGAAGATGACAGCACCTCATACAAAGTGGGCAAGGTGAATTGTAATAGCTTAAAAGCATGGAGGAGACTAATAGCCAGAAACAAACTCGGGTGTATCATGCAGAATACAGGAAGCTGCCTTTATTCAGAGTCAAGACCATTGATCCATATAGCTCACTGTTGTCTACACGGACTGGCAGCAGTGGGGATTCAGTCAGGAGTTGTTTCCTAGCCCTATCCAGAGTTTCCAGGGGTTGCAAAACTGCTACGACTCTTCCCCTTTCTATATTCATTCTAGTTCTTGGGTGGGATTCATTTATAATGGAATTGAGCGGCTCTGTCCTTCAAGCCCAGGATGTTTTTTTGCATATCTGATTCATAGAGGCAGAAAACAATGAGTCACATGCAGCCTTGCACTTCCAGCAGTCAGACTGAAAGCTGCCATCTTCTGAGCACGAGGACAACAAGGAGAGAAGTCGGTTGCTTCCTGCCCGCTCCCATTTGCTACCTCTTTTTGTTTGATATTTTCTGGATTCAATCGATGACCAGCCATCAGCAACTGAAATCCTGCTACTCTGATTCCTCTTACTTGGTTTTCTTCCCCGTCCCCCATTCAGTCCACATCGCCCTGTTCTTTTCAGAAGCTTATAATTTGATACAAAAGCAAAAACCTGGCACACCATTATACAGTGGTACCTTGGGATGCGAATGGGATCCGTTCCGGAGCCCTGTTTGCATCCTGAACAAAACGTAAGATGCAACTGCGCATGCGCATGACGTCATTTTGACCGTCTGCGCATGCGTGAGCCATGAAACCCAGAAGTAATGCACTCCGTTACTCTGCAGAGCGCAACCCAAAAGCATTCAACCTGAAACATATTTATCCTGAGGTATGGCTGTACAGTGGTACCTCGGGTTAAGTACTTAATTCATTACGGAGGTCTGTACTTAACCTAAAACTGTTCTTAACCTGAAGCACCACTTTAGCTAATGGGGCCTCCTGCTGCCGCCGCGCCACCGGAACACGATTTCTGTTCTCATCCTGAAGCAAAGTTCTTAACCTGAAGCACTATTTCTGGGTTAGCGGAGTCTGTAACCTGAAGCGTATGTAACCTGAAGCGTATGTAACCCAAGGTACCACTGTATAGGTTTGTGCCACCTGAGCTACAAGTTTTGTTGGTGGAAACCTGCCTAGAGCACTGGGGCTTCTGATTCTGCATTCTTCTCTCCCTGAGTCTATGTCTGGCATTTGTATGTGGCTGGCACACACCCACACCCCTCTTTCTTGCCCTTGTTTCCAGGGAGGAGCCCATCCAGCCCCCTCTGGGACCCAAGCGAAGGCGCTTGGTCATTGACTGTGAGGAGCAGGAAGAAGGCAACAGCCAAGGTATGTCTTGTGGCAGCAGTGTAGTTAACTTCCATCAAACTCCTTTCCCCAACCGCCATATCATCTCTTTCCCAGCCCCTACAAATAATCCCTTTGATGCTTCTCCTGGGTGCAACTTGATCACAGATCATCTGTTAGGAGTGTTGCTGGTTGTCCCCAAGTTGTGGAGACTCATTTGGCATCCGTATGAAAACTTGAGCCTTCAGAGTTAATGACTCACTTCTGTGGAATGTTCTCCCAATAGGGCTCATCCACACTTACTGTATTTTTCGCTCTATAAGACGCACCAGACCATAAGATGCACTTAGTTTTTGGAGGAGGAAAACAAGAAAAAAAATATTCTGAATCTCAGAAGCCAGAACAACAAGACGGATTGCTGCGCAGCGAAAGCAGCGATCCCTCTTGCTGTTCTGGCTTCTGGGATAGCTGTGCAGCCTGCATTCACTCCATAAGACGCACATACATTTCCCTTTACTTTTTAGGAGGGGAAAAGTGAGTCTTATAGAGCAAAAAATACAGTACTCGCCACCACCACCACCCGCTCTTTCCAGGAACAGGTCCATGCTTAAAAGCTTTGTGTCTGAGCGGTTTTTCTCCCCGCAAAACCCACTCTTTAGCGCTCAGTTGCAGCATATGTCAATTCGTGTTTTCTGCAGAGTGCCGTTTGCACTGATCGAGCTTTAAAGGGCGGGTTTTTCAGGGGAAACTCCCGGGCCAGAAAAACACACACCAAAAAGTGCTCAGATGCGGAGCTTTCCAGGCACCATGACCTGTGCTTTTAAGAGCGTGGAGGAAAAGCAATGTGGATACGACCTCAGCTGACACCTTCTATATTGACTTCCAAACATTTACTGAAGGCGTCTCTTTGCTTCCGGTCTTATGTAGACAATTAAGGAGGAGGGACATCTGTAATAGTCAAACTGGTGGTCTATGTTAATTTTTTTGGTGTTTCTATTTTAACTGTAACCCGCTTTGCTGTTGTTGTGTTTTTAATGAAATTGCAGTATACAAATATTTTAATAAATAAAATGAACAATATCCAAAAGGCTGTGGGTTCCCCATCCCTCATGCAAAGGCTTCTGTGAGCTCAAAGTACCTGCCCATGAAGGAAGCTGCCTACCTTGTCTACATTCACCTGGTCAGCATCGAGGTGCAAGGGAATAGCAGGCCATTCTGCCCTATTTCTGCTTCAGATGTTGACTGTATTTCCTCCCCCCCTTAGTAAGGCTGTCATTGTTTTATGTTTCCACGAATTAAAATCAATTGAACAACAATAGAGTAGCAACCCCCCTTCACCCAATTGAGAAAAATAGGGGGGGGGGCAAAGGCGTCAGTAGGCTACTAGAACAACCAGCAAGATATGCTGAGAGATAAGAGAGACAAAGGGCTCTTGATAGAAGTTGGGGCAATGGTCTACAGAAGAAAGACGGCGCTGTGATTAGATCATTCCATCCTTCCTTCGCAGTACAGAGAGGGCAGCAGAAATTACCTGCCACCCCCTGCCCAAAGAGGCTGCCCGCTGCCTTTATGCATGAGTCACTGCTTTGAGTCTCCTCCTAATCACGAGGGATGTCTGGAATCCTCAGCTTATCAGAACTTCAGAAACCCTGCCAAGAATACATTACTGAGGCTTGAAGGGGGTGGCGGCAGAAAGGATGTTCATTGTTCGGTAATGGATAGCAGTGAGAGCAGCTTCTAATGCTCTCTCTCTATGTTTATCCTTCAGCTTCTTTCCCAGAATGCTGAATAATTTCCACTTTGCTTCTGAAGCAGCTTTCTGCAAAAATCCGATTAAGTCACAGCACGGCTTTTTCCATCGCTACTTTATCCCTTGCTCTCTTAAGATCACGCTGTATTTTATCTTTGGCACGGCAGGGTCCAGTGATGAGGACGAGCTGCAGCCTGCTGGCAAAAGGAAGTGCCGGCGAATTGAAGAGGAGGAAGAAGATTGAAGGAGTTGGCCCTCCCTGGCCCAGTTCAGACCAGTTACACCCACTGTCAGCTGTGGAGCTGCAAGAACCACCTCGGGCAGAGGGGTCCTTGATGAAGCAGCCTGGAAAGAATCTCTCTCTTTCTCTTCCCCGGCCCCGGTCTCCCAGTCTTGGTGCACAACACTTCATAGTTTTTGGGAATGGGATGCAGGCAGACTGAACATGTGAATGAGACCTGCTAGAGAACGAATGCAGGGAAAAGAAATGGGAGACCTGCTTGAGGAGGGAAGAGGAGAATGGGCTTTCTGCCCTGCTCTGTTACAGGATACAACAGACGCTGAAGCTGGTACAGGAAGAAGCTTCACTTTAAACTGTTCTGTAACCATTTGTAGCTTACGACACCTGTGACACGGGGCGTTTGTTCTGAATGATGTCTGCTGAGAGCCAGCAAAAGCCACCCTGACAAGGCTGACCTGCCAGGCAGAAATAAGGCATGTCGGCTCTTCGAATCTTAAGGCTACTTGGCTTTTGGATTCGCCACCGCTCCCTTTCCGTGCCTGGCCAAAACACGACCTCATCCCTGTGCTCAAGTCTCACATTGCCTTATAATACATGCGCACGGTCTTCTGTCTCCATTGCGCCTTGGCACCGATATTCTTCAAAAATGTGTGCTTGTACTGGAATCACACAAGACTCGTTTGACGTTGGGTGTCAAGAGTTGAATTGTTTGGGGAGGGTGGGGTTCAAAAGCAAAGATGTGCTCCTGGGCTGAATTTTGCTCCCAGATTATTGTTCTCATCACCAGCTGCTTCAGTTTTCCTTGCCGACAGCTATTGACTTTGTTGCTTGGGCTGTTCCAGGCAGAGGCAACGTCAGAGATGTATAAGGGTTGCCTCTCGTTCATGGTAGAAGGGCAGGAATGTTAGCACGTTACTTGTGTGCTTGTGTTGTGTTTTCATAATAAAAATCCCCCAAACAACCCTTGGCTGACTAGTTCTAAAGAAATCCAACGTTTTGAAGGTTCTTCTGCCTTGTTTTACATGGCTGCTGGAAACTGCAAGAGCTTCTTGGAGGGAAGAGGATGAGGGCTTTGTAATGGTTTCTGTGCGTTGACTTTCCTTAAAAAGGAGGAAAGCAATAGTAATCCTGCTTTTAGCAATTTCTGGTTTTTCTGTAATTTGAGTATTCCCACATTTGCACATGGGCTCTAGCTCTATATGTTTGCACCAAGCCTGATTTGTAACCCAGGCCCTGGGATGGGGAACCTGGTGCACTCCAGATGTTGATGGCAGCTGGAGACGAACCACCCCACACAGGAATGGTAAAAGTAAAGGGAGCCCTGACCATTAGGTCCAGTCGCAGAAGACTCTGTGGTTGCGGCGCTCATCTCGCTTTATTGGCCGAGGGAGCCGGTGTACAGCTTCCGGGTCATGTGGCCAGCATGACTAAGCCGCTTCTGGCGAACCACAGCAGCACACGGAAATGCCGTTTACCTTCCCGCTGGAGCGGTACCTATTTATCTACTTGCACTTTGATGTGCTTTCGAACTGCTAGGTTGGCAGGAGCAGGGACTGAGCAACGGGAGCTCACCCCGTCGCGGGGATTCGAACCGCCAACCTTCTGATCGGCAAGCCCTAGGCTCTGTGGTTTAACCCACAGCGCCACCCGCCTCCCTACACAAGAATGGACTCATCCACAATTCTGCGCGCCCCACTGCTTTCCCCCGAGAAATCTTGCTGAATCGGAGCAAAATGTCAGCTGGTTTTTCTGCAAATTGAGGTTCACTCCGATTCAGCCTGGGTTTTCCCAGGGGAAAATACGAGGCAAGTGGACCCTGTGCTTTCTAGGCATGGAACAAGTGTGGACAGGCCCTGTGACATTGTAGTCCAATATCTGGAGAAACATAGGGTTCCCAGCCTAAACTTTAGAGAGCAATTGCTGGGAATTGCAAGTGGGGAGACTGTTGTTGGCACTCATGACCTGTTTTGTGAGCTGCCTGGGGTTTTCTGATTGGCCACTCCTGAGAACAAGGTGACAGACCAGATCGGTATTGGGTCTGATCCAGGACATAAGTGCAACAGGTATTCCCAGCAACTGGTATTCAGGGACAGTCTGCTTCTCACACCGGAAAACACGGCCAGCAGCCAGCAATAGCCGTACTCTCCATAAATTTACCCTAATCCTCTGTTGGAACCAGTCTAGCTGGTGGCCATCACTGCATATTCTGGGAGGCAGTTCCATTGATTTAACTACGTGCAACATAAAGAGTTGCTTTTCGCTGTGTGCCCTGAATCGGCATTCCGCTTCACACCACGCGCAACTTTATAGAACCCTTGTCGTGTCTGCCCTTAGTCCTTTCCAAACTCGAAATCCCCAGATGTAACCGTTGCTCGTTAAGTGAATAGCTCCAGCCCCTTGATCATTTTGGTTGCAAAGGACTTCTTCAGGAATTCCAGCTCAAAGTAGCTGCTGAATCAAAGCCAGAGAACTGCAGCAGAAACCAAAATGAGTTGAGGACGAATACTTCTGTGCCCCTTGATAATGAATTAACTTGATAATGGAGCAGAGTGTTGCAATGGGGTCGGCTGATAAGACCCCAGAATATAGATATATAAGCACTGGGGAAACGGCTCTGCGTTCTCTGCCACCTTGGTAATTATACGCTTGTGCCTCTTCTCCAGACAGGTAAGCTGCTCCATTCTGGTGGATGGGCAGAGTCCAGCATGCGGGGGGGGGGGGGAATAGATTTTAGGAGACTTGTAGAGGAGCAAACTTAAGGGTTTCAGTTTGAAGATGAGGGACAGGATAGTGTGTTAGGCTAGCAGGGAGGCCCCTTATGTTTCTAGAATGAGGATCAGCATCTGGAGAAAATAAAAATCTTGGCATGTATAATGTGGCTGTTCACTAGAAGCAGCTCGGATGCTGTGACATTGACCAGATCTCTAGGAGTTCCTTGTGCAAGCAAACTTGGCTGCTTGCAATTCATGGCTGACTCAGCTGCTTTATGAGATTGTATTTCCTAAGTGCCGGCACCAAAGGGAAATGACACTGCTTTGTCATAACCTTTTCCCCCAGTGAAGAACCCTGATTGCTATTGTTTTAAGCAGCTTTGACAGCGCCGTATGGAACTCTGACCTGTACAGGATGTAACATAATAATAACATAATAATAATAATAATAATTTATATCCTGCCCTCCCCAGCCAAAGCCGGGCTCAGGGCGGCTAACAACAATAAAATAATGCAACATTCTAAAATCATTTCATTATAAAATTAATTCAAATCAAATTGATGGCAACCATTGGGCTAGAGTTCTGTGAAGATTGCCAAAGGAGGGAGTCGGGCTGTGCCCTGACCAAAAGCCTGGTGGAACAGCTCTGTCTTGCAGGCCCTGCGGAAAGATGTCAAGTCCCGCAGTGCCCTAGTCTCTTGTGACAGAGCGTTCCACCAGATTGGAGCCGCAGCCGAGAAAGCCCTGGCTCTAGTTGAGGCCAGCCTAACCTCTCTGTGGCCTGGGACCTTCAGGATGTTTTTGTTTGAAGACCATAAGTTCCTCTGTGGGACATACCAGGAGAGGCGGTCCCGTAGGTACGAGGGTCCTAGGCCGTATAGGGCTTTAAAGGTTAAAACCAGCCTTCAGAATATAACATTTTATTTTATTTTTAATGCTTGCTTGTTCATTTTTTCGTCTCCCACCATCTCTTGACCTAGATCTTGAGGGTTGGCACAAGGAATGGGGAATCTGAGGGCCTCTGGTCGTTCCTGGACTACAATTCCTAGCATCCCCAGCCATTGGCCACAGCATCTGGGGCTAACAGGAGTTGAGAGTTCAACAACAACTAGACAGCCACAAGTTCCCTTGCCGTGATTTTCCTCTGCTCTTGTTTTTTCAGGAGGCACATGACAGGCAAGCTGTTTTTTCTGCCTCCTCCCCTTCTGAAAACATTCTGCTGCTTTCACACTTGGAAATAGCAGCTACTGTAGAAAAGTAGGTGAGTGGGTGGGATGCCACTGGCAGACCCTCGAAGTGTCCCTATTCTCCAGGGACAGTCTCAGATTTACAGAAGCCATCCCGGTTTCTGATTTGATCTCTGAATGTCCTGCTATTCCTTAGGACCTCCCTATTTTCATGGGAGAAATGTTGGAGGGTATAGAGTTATGCAACCCCCGAGCCAAGGAGATAACTATATAACCTTTAGAAAACATCTGGAGGCAGCGCTGTATAGGGAAGATTTTTTTTCAACGTTTTACTATGTTTTTATATGTGTATAAATAGTAAACTTACTACAGTGGTACCTCGGGTTAAGTACTTAATTCATTCAAGAGGTCCATTCTTAACCTGAAACTGTTCTTAACCTGAAGCACCACTTTAGCTAATGGGGCCTCCTGCTGCCGCGCTGCCCAAGCACGATTTCTGTTCTCATCCTGAAGCAAAGTTCTTAACCCGAGGTACTATTTTTGGGTTAGCGGAGTCTGTAACCTGAAGTGTATGTAACCTGAGGTACCACTGTACATAGATAAAGGTAAAGGGACCCCTCACCATTAGGTCCAGTCGTGGCAGACTCTGGGGTTGCGGCGCTCATCTCGCTTTATTGGCCGAGGGAGCCGGCGTACAGCTTCTGGGTCATGTATCCAATATGACTAAACCGCTTCTGGCGAACCAGAACAGTGCACGGAAACGCCGTTTACCTTCCTGCCGGAGCGGTACCTATTTATCTACTTTCACTTTGGTGTGCTTTCGAACTGCTAGGTTGGCAGGAGCAGGGACCGAGCGACGGGGTGTGCTCACCCGGTTGTGGGGATTCGAACCGCCGACCTTCTGATTGGCAAGTCCTAGGCTCTGTGGTTTAACCCACAGCGCCACCCACGTCCCGCAAAACATACTACATAGGACATCCCTATTTTCATCAGAGAAATCTTGGGAGGGTATGGACTAGAAGAAATGGTTCCGGCCTCCTGTTCTTAAAGCCACCACCTTCCAGCCAAAACGTGCTCCTGATGAAGGGCTGAATGATACATTTAAAGCACATGACGTCCCCCAGAGAATCCTGGGACCTAGTCCACTCAGTTGTGGCTCTAGCACCTTTAATAAACTACAGCTCCCATAATTCTTTGGCAGAAGCCATGTACTTTCAACGTATGGTGTGCGTGTGACCCTTTTTCAAGCAGGAGACTAAAGGCTTTCTATTGGCTGATAGAAAGGCCCTGTGTGGGATTACTCATCAGCAGAGTGGGTGTTCCCTCAAGATCTCTGTCTAGACCTGACAAAGAACGCTGGTTGAGGTTAATTCCCTCTTAAGGGGAAGGCTGACTTTCGCTTCATCCAAAAAGAAGGGAAGCGAGCACTCATTTTGGGGCACGGATTCCAAACTACAGTAGCTTTTCCTAGGGCACATTCTTCACAGAAAGCAGCTGCAAGCAGAGGTTTTTTTAGGAAGCCACTCTCACTTGAGCAAACACAAACTCCTAACGCCCTCGCATGCAGACTTAACTCTGGCTGCTGCCACTGCTGCGAGGGCATAGTCCCAGCATTCATTGAAAGCACGATGATAACTGCTTTAAACAGTGATGGCTTCCCTTCAAAATCCTGGGAGATGTAGTTTGTTGAGGGTGCTGGGAAACCCCGTTTCCCCTTCCAGAACTATAGTTTACAGAGTGGTTTAAGAGTCCGTTCCTCTTCCCAGAGTTACTCCGGTAACTCTGAGGGGAATAGGGGTCTCCTAACAACCCTAGCCCATCTACTTACAAGTCTGCAGTCCCCAGTCAGTCTAAACCACTGAGCCTCTTGGGCTTGCCGATCAGAAGGTTGGCGGTTCGAATCCCCACAACCGGGTGAGCACACCCCGTCGCTCGGTCCCTGCTCCTGCCAACCTAGCAGTTCGAAAGCATGCCAGTGCAAGTAGATAAATAGGTACCGCTGCGGCGGGAAGGTAAACAGCGTTTCCGTGTGCTCTGGTTTTTATCACGGTGTTCCGTTGCGCCAGAAGTGGTT